GCAGGCAGGTGAGGAAGAGGGGGGGATGAAACCAGATTCCAAGGATTCCTGAATATAGTCCTCCATAGCCTGAGTTTCATCCTGGGAGAGTGAATAGACCTGACAGATTCATTTGCTGGATAAAAATACTGTACTCTGACGTGGGCAGCAGGGTCAATGTAAATGGAAACCTGGGGGATTTCATTCTCCAGGAGTCCAGAGTTAGATAATGGTGGGCCCTGCGGGTCATGGAGCAATACTCCAGGGCCTCTGGGTCAAAGCTTGACTGCCCAAAGAGCAAACTGAAGTTCTTCGGACCCTGGAAGGACAGGACGATGACACCAGAAGTTCTAGAGGTCTGCATGGGGCCCCTCAAGATTTTGGGGGTTTCGTTCCAGAGCCAGGACAGCGAGACCCTCAACTGGACCGAGAGGCCAACATGAACGCGAAGCTGGGTCTGTGAGAAACACGGTCGCTGTCCCTAAAGGGGAAAATGATGGTGTTGAAAGCAAACATCCTGCCGGCTTTGGTTTACCTGGTGGTGGTGTTCCCGCTGCCAGCCAGACTGAAACAAGCGCTGCAAAGGATTATCTTCAAGTTCCTCTGAAGCGGCAGGTACAAGTACATCATGAGGAAACTGATGTGCCAGCCAGTCGAGGAAGGCGGGAGACGTGCTGCATTTCCCCCTTCAAACTCGATAGCATCTTCTTCTGCAACCAGTACTTTTTCAGGCTATGGATCTCCACCCCGATGAGGCACCTGGTCCAGCGGACAAACATTGGGCCCAAAGCAGAGAGGCAACTGGAGTTCTACACCCACGCTGTCAAGTGAAGCAGGAGGTACAAGGCCACAAAACAGCCAGAGCTCTGCACCAACCACAGAACTTGGCGGAGGTTGAAGGAGGTGAGGGGACAACTGGTCACCAATGAAAGGCTGTGGGTTCCCAGACAAGACTGGGAAAGGACGCAGCCGAAGGAATTGGACAATAACCTAAAAGACCTCAATTGGATGGCCGTGCACGAGAGGCTCGCAACCAGAGAGGTTCTTTACAGACCATTGCTCACCAGGAACCGCATCGCCCTTGGGACACGTGTTTCATTGAGAAGACTCTGGAGCTGCCCCTTCGCCAAAGCGGTGTGGGGCAGAGGGGACAAAATTATGCAACTCCTGGGAGCGTGAGCAGTGCTCAGTTACCAAAGCCTCCTGCTGGGGCTGACACCCACCGGATTGGACAAGGGGACACTGTTCCTGCTGTGGCTGCTGTTGTCCCTAACAAAACAAGGACTGTGGAAAGTCAAGGATCTGGCACAACACAGAGCTGGGGAACGAGGGAGCTGGAGGAGAGGATACTTGCAGACCTTAGAAGGAGGATGAAGCGTGACTTCGCCAAATGGGGTTTCCCCACGGTGAGGGAGAACTGGAAAGGACGTTGGACCCTGTACAGTGACTAATGGACAAAAGCAACTGGTAGGGCTTGGAGGGACTCTTTAATTGCTCACATCTGGCCCAGTCATCCACTTGCAATGATTGGACAATCGCCTCGTTTGGAAAGTTTTTTTGTTGCAATGATAGTTTGAAAATGTGTTCAAATGTTTATTAATTGTGAGAATGTTTCCTGGAGTGAGATGTTGTTTTGGAAATAAAGTTTATTTTGATTTTAAAAATCCCTTAGTGCAACATGGTAAATTAATGTAAGTGAATGTCCAAAATGCTTAGTTGTGAGAGCATCTTTCTCATCTCTGGAAGATCATTAGATAGAAATTAAGAGATTTGAAACCCTCACCTTTCACAATACTTTAAGTTACATAACAAAAGTTTAAATTATTTTGTTCAATATTTGTTTATTTAAAAAAAATATGGCAGCATTTTTATTCACCCTGAATTGATATATTCAGTATATTGATATATACCTTGTATATCTTGAAACATCTAGTTTAACAAAATATGCTTCTGTAAAAAATATTGCCAATAAACCAATGAGAGATTGAAAACATTAGTTTTGGTCTCATTATAGAATATTGGTCACTATACTGGGGCATTAGGACCCACACAGGCAGCAGGGTGAGCGCCCTGTACTTATCCCTCTAATACATCTTCCAGCAGCCACCTTAGTTTTTCCCAGGAGTCCCATCCAGGTACTGACCTGCTGAGCTCCAGTGGGTTGTGACAGAAGCATAAGACCTAGATGACAGAGTGACTAGACCTGTGAGGCCCATAACAACAACAAAAGCCGAATATGAGGCTGTCTTCTAAAAATTGACGTTAACATGCAAATCTATATTTTCCTGGAGTCCAGGCTAAGTTTGTAGTCACTACCCTGCAATTACCGAACATGAATGCGAAGTTACGAAATTGTTTTCTTGTGCAATGTTTGCGGATGTCATTTTTTAATCTCACCACAAGATGGAGACAAAGCCCATTAAATATCACTTGCGTTTCCAACGTAATAATCCAGTTTATCCAAAAGGATATTAAATAGCTATACATAGCTAAATTTTAAAATAAGGTACGTATGTCTATTTTAAAAGTCCACAGTGGAATTTAGCCATGGCCACAAGCCTAACTCCCTATTCTTCTAAATTATACCATGTGATTTTAAAATATTGATTTAAAGACCTCAGCTTAATGTTTTATCTGAAAGACAAAGCACTGTAGCACAGTCCCTGATTACCATCTTGATGCATTTGTAGTTTATATCATTTCTTTGTGATTATTTTTTATTAAAAGTAATTTGAAATAAGATTTTAGTAAGGGTGGGGTTGTGTAAACTCCATCTATGCATGACAAGACAAGGATAATGTTTCTGTCACATACAAAAACCAATCTAAGTCACCACTGTGCTCCAAACCTGGCTCAAATGCTTTCTTGAAAAGCTGTCACAATATATCATTTTATAAACCATATACAATTTCTTGCATAAGGAATTTATCTTTTGATATACCCCAGCTTGCTCTACATGAGACACACAGCTGGGGAGAGAGAAGCTTGGGGTCAGAGTGCAGGGTCAGTCATTAATACAGCACCCCCAGAGCAGCTGGGGTTAAGGGCCTCGCTCGGGGGCGCAACGGAGTAGGATTCCTCTGCCAGCCACAGGATTCAAACCAGAAACCTTCTAGCCACAGGCGCAGATCCTTAGCCACAGAGTCACTGCTCATATTGCTGAATGTCTCATATCTAATCTGTTTTAGATTTTTTTCTCATTTTTATATTAAATTCTACACTTTTTGTATTATAAAAATCTATCAACATGTCAAGGCCTAACGGGGCGTTGGGTGACTCTGAGGCTCAGGATCTGCACCTGTGGCTGGAAGATTGCCGGTTCGTATCCCACGGCTGGCAGAGGAATCCTACTCCATTGGGCCCCTGAGTGGGGCCTTTAACCCCAACTGCTCCAGGGGTGCCGTATAAATGGCTGACCATGTGCTCTGACCCCGAGCTTCTCTCCTTATCTGTGTGTCTCCTGGAGAGCAAGCTGGGGTATGTGAAAAGACAAATTCCTAATACAAGAAATTGTATATGGTCAATAAAGTGATCTTCTCTGATCTTTTATTTTTAATCACAGCCAAAGAAACAATATCCATTTTTTTCTGTGCCACAGATTACAACATGTCTGCTGCTTAAACAAACAGGTAAATTAATGCCCATCCATCAGAGTGAATTGAAAATCATTTTCTTCATTCACAAAAAAAAAATGGTGTTGTTCTGAAATTAATTCCAGAGCAGACTGATGATTCATTCCTGGATTTAAACATCCTAGACAGACCCACAAACTGTCTTTTTTAATCTTAAAGAGAGATTGCCACAAAGGGTAAGATTTCTTGAATTCTTATTTTTACTGGAAAGCTAGAAAAACAAATGAAAGTTAATAATACCCACAAATATTTTCAGGCACAAATATCTCAACAAATATTGTTTATTTTTGCATATTTTTCAAACTTACTGTATCTTTAAAATGCAAGATGATGCACTTCAGTAAGCATCAGATAGTTTACCATTTCCTCTATTGCTACTAGGCACAGTAATATATTGATGCAGTTTCAATTTTGAATTTTTTATTTTCCTTTTTTGTCGTTTTATTTATTAATCAGACTCTTTTTGTTAAATAGAACAGAGAGTCAGCAGCACCAATCCTAAAAATAATATATGCTAAAAATCTATTTCAACTCCCTGGAAAAGGATCAGGAACCATGTCTTCAAAGTGCCAAGTTCTAGTGGTTGCAGACATAATAATATAAGAAATGTTACAAGTGAGGCCTTTTGACCCCTCTATCTACTTGCATTGCTGATAGCAAATCTAAGGATCTAATCCAGCCATTTCTACACAATAGCAAGGGCAATTTGTCCAGACTCCCATAATCCTTTGCATTGGGAGGTGCTCCTGCTCTCACTTTAACAGCACTGCCCCATAGTTCCCACTCGTGTCCTTTGGCTCTTTTTCCAACATTGATTCTGAAGATATTCACAGGGTTGTTTTTGTCAGTGACTTTGAAGATTTTGAATCAGGGCCCCTTGTGGTCTTCTCTGTTTCAAAGTAGCTAAAAAGATCCAGTTCGTTTAGCCTCCCAGTGTACGTCATGCCTTTAAACCCAGAATGTATCTGGTTGTTTTGATTCCAATATCTTTATTAACTACTGAATAGAATTCTATTCAACAGTGCACAATATTCTCAATCTAAATCTTTATTTTACGCCCATATTATAGACAATGTAAATGTTGTGTCTTTTTCATTAATAGTCTCTTCAAGTCTCATATTTTCAATTGATAGTTTATATTTATGCTTCCTGTATCCAGTACTGTGCTTTTGTCTACACTACATTTTTCTACATCATCTGTCATGTGTTTTTCTAGTCTTGAATTTTATGTCATGTTTTTTAATTTCATTTGCTGCTTCTACAATATTTGCCAATCCACCTAATTTGGTTTAGTTTGTAAACCTGTCTAGTTTAATAACTGTACCAGAATCATGGATGGGAAGGAAGAGCAGTGGTCCTTGTACTGATACTTGTGGTACTTCACTAATTACATCACCACAATTTGTGCATTCTCATCTCAACAGTATCCTCACACTATCCTTACAGCATTCCCATTTGTATCCTCTGTTTTCTATCCCTTAATCAGGTTTCAAACACAAATTTCCACTAAAATTTCCACTGACACTGTATTTCCCTCTGTTGCATGGGTGACATACTGTATGAAGATGTATTTGAAGGCAACACTAAACCTTTAAAATACGTTTGTGTCTTGTGGTCGTTTAAGGATAGAGAATACACACTACAACAGTCTGACAAAAAAAGGCTACACATAAAATCTATTGTATACAAGTGCAGACACACGGGAGCAATGGGGCATAACTTCATGAGAAATTAATTCATGAAAACGTAAGCTGTAACCATGTATATTTTGTAGGTTAGAAATTGGCTTGTCACCAGAATCTAATCTAAACCACACAATTATTGTGCGTCTTCGAATAGCATAGTGGATGTTTTCAGACTGTAACATAAATCGAGCAATATTCATAAATATGGCACAGCAAGGATTCACGGATTCTGGGCCTGTAACCGAAGGGCTGGAGGTTTGAGTCCTGGGAGACACACAGTACAGTCCACAGCTGCATACAGTACATCGACGCAAATCTAAGCTACTCTGTGTAAAAGTATCAGTCAAAATAAAAAGTAAATACTATCATATTGAGATTATGCTTGATCCACCTTAAAAAGAAAAAAAACGTAAGGTCTTACATAGGAAACTATTTGAGAACCAATACACACATCATCATAAACTGTACACTTTGTAGCTGCTGGGAAATGTATGAATAACATTCATGCCTTCACAACTCAAGGATGTAAAAGTATAGTGCTTCTATAGTTTAATGTGCTGTAGTATGTCTTTACTATTCAGGTTGAAGAAAAGGTCCGTCCCTTGCCCCCAGCTTGGCTGTGGCAGACGGGCGCTTGCGGCTGAGGGAGGGACCGGGGAGGCGCCGGGCGTACGGAGACGTTACGTCCTGACGGAGCTGCGCACGCATTGCTTGTTTCTGTTGAGCCGAGAAAGCCACGGCTGTAATTCTCTTTTTTTATATGCTGTTGGGTCTGAGCCGTCGGGTTCTGGTGTCGTCTGTGAAAGTCTTAGTCCCTGAAACACAGGTTTCGCTTTCCACCCTCATTTTCGTGCGCTCTGCAGCCCGGGTGCCAGTCAGTCCGAGTCACCGCGCCGTCTCCGCCAGCAGCCTCAGCCGAGCTCCAGCCGCAGACACCATGCCCGAGAGGAGGCCCTTCGAGCGGCTGCCCACTGACGTCTACCCCGTCAATTACGGGCTCTGCCTGAAGCCCGACCTCATCGACTTCACCTTCGAGGGCAAGCTGGAGGCCATCGTGCAGGTAAGGGGTTCGCACGCAGCAGACAGCCGAGCGGGGTACCGGGGGTCCATTACGTAATGTCATTGACTGTATCCAGTGAGTGATATCGTAGCGTGTATCCCGACAGGCTTAATGTTGCTGCTTCGCTGTGCTGTAAAGATAGGTGCAACTGTTACATAATGTTACCTGGTTAGATGGGCAGTGAATTCGGCAGTACCGGCACTCGCGGAGCCTCACCATCACCGCCGGCAGCGAGAGCTTAGTCTGCAGACAGTTGCAGCTTCCGCTTCGCCAGGACCCGTCATCGCTTTGCAGCTCGGTGTGGTTTGGATAGGGGCGCCCAGCTCCTCGCCGTGCTCCGGGGACTGTTCAATTTTTAATTTTAACGACCACAAGCCGTAGTTATATCTGAGCTATACACCGAATTTCCCCAAAGGTATACGTGTAAGCTGCGTTGTCTTTATTTCGTACGTCTTGTAAAAGATGCCTTTTGCGATCATGTTTTGAATGGTCAAATATGCTGCTTAGAAATTAAATTTCACTGAGGTCTGTTAAAGATGTTTTAGTTTTAAAATATTATAAAACGCATTGATATGATTTAGTCGATAAAGTACTCTAGAAATCCTGTTCTCTGTGTGTTCCTGAATAGGAATATATGAAGATTTATTACGTTATCAAGATTTCACATGCATGCACATTTCAGACGGTATTTACCTGTAGTGTTGAACTACATTTCCCCAGTTGAAGCCTGTAAATGTTGTTGAAATTAAATGACCTTTTGTAACCCTGCTATAATATGTAGGATTCAATGTAGAAAACAATAATTAAAATAATATGGCAGCAAAGGTTTCATGTTATTGGTACAAACATAATCTATGCAGAGAAGTGTCAGACAGGAAGCTGTACTGTTATTTAATCCCATTGAACATGTTTTTTGTTTATTAAACGCAAAGGAATCTATAAAGCAAACTATGAGTTCCAATATGTTTTTGATTTTGATTGTCAATCTATGTAGTACCAGTAAATGAAAGGGAAGATTCATCTGAATTAGATAACTTCATAAACCTGCGGTCCACATGGGTCCTAATGCCCCAGTATAGTGACGGGGACACTATACTGTAAACAGGCGCCGTCTTTCAGATGAGACGTAAAACCGAGGTCCTGACTCTCTGTGGTCATTAAAAATCCCAGGGCATTTCTCAAAAAGAGTAGGGGTGTAACCCCGGCGTCCTGGCCAAATTTCCCATTGGCCCTTACCAATCATGGCCTCCTAATAATCCCCATCTATGAATTGGCTTCATTACTCTCTGCTCTCCTCCCCACTGAGTGCTGGTGTGTGGGGAGCGTTCTGGCGCACTATGGCTGCCGTCGCATCATCCAGGTGGGGCTGCACACTGGTGGTGGTGGAGGGGATCCCCATTACCTGTAAAGCACTTTGAGTGGAGTGTCCAGAAAAGCGCTATATGAGTGTAAGCAATTATTATTATTATTATTATTATTATAAACATTCGGCTGATTTATCTGATCTTGTTTGGGATTAAGTGTAAGTGTTGAGGGTTGAGTTTCCGATTTCATAAAAAATGCTGAATGTTCATTATATTGGCATTTTGCACCTGAGTTTGAGTTGAAAGGAGCAGACTGGCTCTCGGGAGATGTAGCGGCAGGCGACAGCAGGGCTGACTGATGAGAGCACGTTCCACAGCAACACCAGTCACACACGAGAGGACTCCCTTTGGCACACTTCTCCCATCTGGCTCATAGCAGCTTGTCGATTCAAGGGGCTCATCCAGTTGTTTCATGAAAGAAAACTTTAGAAACAATTATTAGTGTCGATTCATGAGACATGATTGGTTTGATGGGATGTGGGTGGTTTTCCCAAGTGAAAAACAATTTATTTTTAAATGCAGAACTGGGATTTGAACTGTAGATCTTGTAAACTTAGAGACCTTACAGGAAATGGGAATGCCCCAAGACCAGTTATAGTACAGGGTAATGACAACATTGCGACTGGTCTGATGAAGGTTAACCTCTTTCTTCTTAGTACTGGACTACATACTGCTCATTTTGTCCTGGGAGCTTGACCTTATTTTCACAGTTCACTTAGTATACAGTACATTGCTCTTCTATGAGTCCTGCGTCACATCTTACTCACACTCAACCACAGCACTTTCTTATCTTCAGGCCTTCTGAGAAGGTGCATGATTTTGACACTTTTTCAGTAATGGCAACAATTGGAATACTAGTAGAATTTGTAAAGATGATATAGGAATCAAATATAATTAACTGATGACGGATGATTAAATGCTGTGTTTAGTAGTGAATGTTCCATGTGTGCCGATGAGGCTGTGATTCCTGACAGCTCCAGTGGAAGATTATATTGATAGCTTATCACACTGACCCATTACCGGGCCTCCAAGCTGTGACACAACCAGCTCTCTGCTGCCAGTTTACATCAGTCAGCACTTCTCAGCAAGGGTCTCGCAGAATTGGCATTGTAGCAGAACTCCCTGTTGGACTGAGCTCGTGGACCAATCCAGCATTCTCTCATTTATTTTCTGAATGTTTGCATTCTTACATTATCATTTTGTATTTATTGAAATCACAAAGTCTTCTGTGGTACATTAAAATTTTGAGGTTATTAAAGCATTTTCTCAATAGGTCTCCAGGGAGTTATAGTGTTTTTGCTCTCTGTATTGTGTGGATTTATTGTTAAAGCACTCCTTTTTGCAAACTGTTTTCAGACAGAGATGGACTGGTGTTTGAAGTCAGTGCTATATCAGCTCCAAGCAGACTGGTAAAAAAAGAAAGCAAAGGAGACTGATATCATTATTATTACCAACGCAATGCAGTAAATAGTTTTTGGGAGAGAACCTGCTAAGTTGTGGCAGTAATAATACTATTGGTTCCCTATCAATATCAATAATTGACACTCATATCAATCAAAAATGTTCCCTTTTTAACACAAAGGACAAATTACATTGTGTTGACTGTATTAATCAAGAAAAGTATTATTGCTTTATCCACTTAGTCCTGACTTAGACAGGACTTGAAATGCCACCTCTTTTCCAGTTTGGAGTGGAGCTGAAAACAGTGCACAGAATCCAGCAGGTTTACACTAGTCAGCCTGTGCTTCAGGTAGCAATGCAAAGTATATTTAATACTCCTATTGCCATGCAGTTTGCTAGAAAAGAAAATTAGAAGAAAATGTTTTAATAATCAAAATAACCTCCTAAGAGGTGTGATCTTTCATGGCCTACTTAGTAGGGTTTGCATTGGGGTTAAATACAGCGCCCTCAAAAAGTATTGGGAGAGCAAAGTCAAAACTGTCTGTTTTCTGTTTTAGTCAAGCAATCTGAGGTTTCACTTATCATATCCTACGATTTCGCCTTGAACAACATGACTAGGTCACTTTTGTAGTGTAGACAAGTGCCTCCTGATCTTGCATGCACTTGTCCCTAATTTGCACTCGCCTTCTCATTAGTGTTTCACAGCTTTGCTCAGCGTACTGGTTCAAAAATATATTGTATTCTTTTGCCTTATAAAGTTATTTTTCACTATTTGTGAATTGATCATAGTTTGAGGAGTTTGGGAGAGTAAAGGTAGTCAAGGAATTTGGTTGAGGGAGCTGCGAAGGGTTCCAGTTCTACCCCAAACTCCTTTCCCTGACCAGGTGTGCAGAAAGTTACAGTACCTGTCAGAATAGCAGATGTATGATTAGCTTGAGTGAAAGTGACCTGTTTCGATGTACGTTCTACATTTCGAGCAGTGCTGTGATTGGGAATCCATGTTATTAACTCCATTTGTGTTTTTTTCTATTTGTAGGTGACACAGGCGACAAATCAGATTGTAATGAACTGTGCTGATATTGACATAATCACAGCATCATTCGTGCCCGAGGGAGGAGAAGGTGAGTTATCTACATATAAGTCAGGGGGCACTGGGGCACTCAAGCCCTGCCAGCACCTTGCTGTCTGCACTCGGACAGATAGGAGTAACCACCTGAGCATGTTTCCTCTAGACCATTGGGGCAGATTAACAGTGAAACAGTGCTTTACTTTGCATGCCTGTAGGGGTTTTCCAGAAATGCCTTCAAAACACGAGTAAAGGATTTCAACAGCATGCAACATCATGTAGTTCCTCTTCCCCACACAGAAGAAGCTGAGCAGCACAGACTGAAAGGGTTAGACTGGAGGTACTGCATTTATAGTGTTTCCTTCTGCCTTTGTAAATTCTCTATAAATGTAATAAAAAAAAAACAGTTTTATTGACTTATTTGCACAATTCACGACATGTAAAAAGGCAATGCGGACCAATAGTCCCATGATGTAGGAAGGCCAGTCATTTCATTTCACCGTTGCTTGTTTCCGAACGTGGTAGGCAACCTTTGACTGTTGTTATAGTGACCATGGCAGGCAGTGTGATTGTGCCTGGTGTTACCCAGATCATGACTGATATGTCAACTAAACTGTCCCTTTTTTGTAACCGGTATTTTTTTCCTTTACTTTTCTTAGATTAATTTCAAATAAAGTCATGGAAAAAGTTTTTTTTTGTTTAATTAACAGCCACCAACAAGTTAGATGTAGTTTTCATCCTGTGATTTTCTCATAGTTTTCTCAGGTAGCTATTATCGTATTAAATGTACGTTTTACAGAGCTTATGTTATCTGTGCAAAGCATTTTAACTACCATTAATGTTAATGTCTCATGAAAATACATAATGTTTTAAACCCGACAAAAAAACAGTCCACAAAACACCGCTTTGGGGCTGCTAATATTAGTAAATCTTCATGTACTGTAGTTTCTGTGCTGCTATAGACTTTGAGTTATCCTGCCAAGGGTTTAGTCACTTAGGATCTCTGCACTTTTTCTATTTTCATTGAAGTAATACAGAAATTCCTCTTCAGTAGCTAACTACTGACTTTATCTCAGCCTTACACGCTAAATGAAGTGCAGTGTTTTGCATTTTTGTAACAGTGCATCCTGACTTTGTTCATGTGAGCAGAAACCGTTTGCTTGCGAAAGCATTTCCAGCAAGTAACAACGTGCCACAGTGAACAGCACCACAGACAGGGAGCACAGGCCATGTGTTTCTAAATATAGCAGCTTTTGTATTTTGAGGGTCTGATAATACTGGGGGGAAAAGTTCTTGGTGGCCTTTTCGCAAGTTGCTGACTGCTGCTGGTCCAATATCAATCTTAATTCTTCAGCATTCACACAGCTTCGTGCTCAGTATTTTCTTTAGTCATTTAGGCTTTAGTCAGCTGTGCATTCCTTTCCATGGGCATTAGTCATGGCTTCACTTGTAGATATATTTAAATATATGTTAAGAGAATATTTCCATCATGAAGAAAACCTAGAGGCAGTATATAATCTGAACGTTTGTAAGTAATGCTATATAAATTTGGATTCTTTCTGGTTGTTAATGAAGAATTTAGCATTATGGTACACGTCTAGCTTGTGTAAGAATAAAATGTATCCAGGCTTTTTGATTGAATCTTAGTAGTTAAGCTGTTTTTTCTCAGACAGGAGATTGGATTCTATTTACAGTTTACCATCAGACCAAATCATGGAGAATTCAGCACACATTAGATCCTCATCTGAGGATTCCTGTCTGGGGTCCTTTGCACATGAAAACGCTGATATGGTGATGAAAAAAAATAAAATTCCTTACTGGTGTCTGACTTAATTAATTTTGAAAGATAAACTTCTCCAGTCAAAACACTGCAATAACTAAACTTGTGAACAGTGTGGCTACCACCATATGGTCCTGTACCATGTTTACTCTAAGAAATCCTAATAACTTAAAAAAAGGAGAAAAGACCTTTCAATACAAGTGAACTCCATGTGACAGTCCTCTTTCTGTGCAGTTGAATTAGAACATTATTGAACTGTTTACATCAGGCATCACTGTCTCCTCTTACCTGAGTCCACTTCACAGAAGCAAATGACAGCTATCTAAAGGGTGTCTGGGACAGGGCTTTTTGCCTCCCTAAGTGTAGTTCTTTGGGGAGGTGTGTAAGACCTTGTCTTCTGGTTTCAACTTATAATGCCTTGCTTAAGTATTTAACACACCCCCTTTCTTCTACTGTTGTTTCTTCATGATGGTGCTTCTTTAACAAACACCAGGGGGTGCTTTCCCTCCCTAACACCATATATGGAAATCCTCCACCTTGCTCCCACTCCAGTTTCACCTTTGGTTAAGTCTCCTGGCACACACTGGCACTCCCATTGTCTTTGCACCCCCCATTCACATCCTCACTGGCAGCTACCGCGTTTCTTCAGTGGTTCTGGGAGTGTTTAGTACAGCTATTAGTAGAAGAACTGATGGGAAAGAGGAGTAACTGTTATTGCTGTTGTTGGAAAGATCAGTACGGTTGCCTTCTATCGTGTCAGCCAGTCACTGCTCTTTATTAATGCCTCCCTTCTGGGACAGAGTGAATGGTACAATCGCATACCCACCCACACATTCTCACAAGCATAGTGGTAGCTCTGAAAATAAGTCTTCAGCTCTTCTGGTCTCATTGACAGAGACCACAAAAAGGGAATAGTTTTCAAAAGAAGTGAAATTGTTATATAGGTTATAAACAATAGAAGCTGTGCTATTTAACTGATTCCTATATAGAATTTTAAAGTGTCGAAAAAGTGTATTTTCTGTTTTAAAAAGATATTTTTTAAAAAGCAAGTGCTTTAAAGGCATAGGTTATTTAGTTTCAGCTTTAATTGCTGTCTTAAATGAGTTCAGATGAAAGATTGGGGTGAATCAGAATTCATGCACAAGTCCCAAAGAGAGTGCAACTATGTCAGTCATTTTGTCTTTGTGTAAATTGTTTGATAGAAATATTTACAAAATCTCAATGTCCTGGGAATATTAACTATCCACTATATCTTTTTTCTCTCAGAGGTTGGATGTCATCGCTGGTTCACTGTTTCCTCTGGCATATAAACTTTAATTCTTTCCTTTTTCTGTTAGAAATAAATGCTACAGGATTCAACTATCAAAATGAGGATGAAAAAGTTACTTTGTCATTCCCAAGTGTTTTAAAAAGAGGTATGTTGTGTATATGATGTTTTACACTGATTACACAGCCAGTTTAGTTCCATAATCCATGTTGAAAACACTTTGCTAACTGTTAACATTTTATATAATTAAAACCTTTACTAATTAAAACCTTTACTAAATGTATTCTTCACCTTTGTACAGGAAAAATGCAGCTGAAGTATGTTTGTTTAAGTGTATGCATTGGAAGTGCCATTCTCCCCACAACAAAGCCTTCAGTTATTATAATGTAAAAACCAGACAGCAGAAGCAATTAGAGGCCTTCTGCATTTTTGAATTGCATTCAGTCCATTAATAGGACTGCAGGCATTCATTTAATACACTATGTTTTGTTGAAAAATGAAAGTAATTATGTAAAAGTATAGTATTTCCTCAGCAGGTATGAGCCAAATGGAACTTTTGTTTTTATTACAGCAGTGGAATTTAACTTTTCTTTGAAGTACATGTTGCCCCAATTTACAGTTTGGGTCTATAGCGTTCTAAGCACCGTAGGTTTGTAACATTGCTTTGGTCAGCACTGTGAAATGGCTCCGTGCAATGGAGACAGATAAACACCAATGTTTGTTTATGTAAGCATTTTTTAACCCTTGAGTTATATTGTCAGCTAAATCTTCTTGCTGGGTTCAGGGTTTTCCTACAATGCACATAATACTGGCTTTTTCAATGTTTGTTGTCTCTCTACATCAAACAGAATGCCTTATACTCAAGTACGTTTTCTTGCAATCCTGTGTTTTTATACTGTTTCATAGAAAAATATGGTCACTTAAGGATGTTGTTGCACTTGTTCACCTTTGTGTTGGTGTTAAACAGGGAATCAGGTATTTTACACACTTGGGCAGCAATCAGGTAGACAGCACTGTCCTTACCCCCTGTTCAGACATCCTTTGTTAACAGTTTCAAACTTTCTGCATGTAATGCAGACAGCAGGCAATTTCCCACTGTGAATGCACTGTTAAACTCAGCACACTGCTGCAGTTCCAGCTGGAGAAAAGCAGCCCCACATAGGCCAGTGCCAGAGCCTCTGTTCTCTGCCTTGCGTCAAGAGCTGCCTTCTGCTTTGTTAGTACAGTAACAGTCACTTTTACTCCTTTACTCCTGAGGCTACAGCAGGTGAAAGTGAGGACTGGAATGTTGTAACTTTTAGACCAGGTTATCATAGTAAATGCCAGTTTCCGTAGCTCTTTTAATATTAAGTAATGATCTAATTTAATGTGACAGTCGTATGGATGAGAATCCAGTGTACTGCATTGTAGACGTGCATTACTGTATATACTGTACTATGATCAAAGAGCAGCTGTCAGACACATCTGAAACACCTTGGCTTGTTTGTGATGCTGTGAAAGAAATGTGCTTTTGGTGAGGAAAGTTTAATTTCTAGCAAAAGTATTGGTTTGATATTCAATTCAATGTATTTTTATATAGCACCTTTCACGACAAGGTTGCCCCAAGGCATTTAACAAAGCAAGTGACCACACATGTTGTGAATACAGAACAGAAAATCTTTGTTTTTTTATATCAAAAAACTTTTTTTTATAAAAATATAAAACAGTGGGATTGGTTCAGGTTTGTTTTATATGCACATTAAAATGTAAGATTTAGATTAGAGATTTCTGAAGACCTTATGAAATGAAAAAAAGATATTTGTTATGTTGACTGTAGAAAGTTTCTTACGATCTTTTTACCATCTGTTGCAGGTTCTGGTACTCTAAAGATAGATTTTGTTGGAGAACTCAATGACAAAATGAAAGGTTTTTACAGAAGTAAATATGCAATTCCTTCAGGAGAAATACGCTATGCTGCTGTCACACAATTTGAGGTAAATGCTTTTTAAAGTACAGACACAATAAACATTATATCTGCTTTTCTAGAGGGATCAGTATTACTGCAACCATTTTCAAGAAAGTTTTTGTTTTTTTGTCATAGATTTGGAGTGTTTATATAAATTGACTTTGAAAAAATCGGAGAAGATGTTGGTATCTCCCCAACCCATTCTGATTTTTTTACATAATATCTTAATGGTTTTCCTACCAGTTCCAGCAAAAAGTTTAATTTGACAGCCTATTGTAATTAATTCAGACTTTTGACTTTTTTGTAATGCCATGTGTAGGCATTGGCGGATTAACTGTAGTGCCTCAGGCTGTGCAGAATGAATCACTGCAATGGCATGTGACAGACTTGCCCTGCACAGGGCTGTAACTCTTGAAAACCTTTGCTTCAGTCTAACATGGTTGCAATTACCAATGAGTAAATCGCTTATTTTTCACTGTATAATGTGATTGTGTTTCAGGCTACCGATGCTCGCAGAGCTTTCCCATGCTGGGATGAGCCAGCGATCAAAGCCACATTTGACATCATACTGATTGTTCCAAAGGACAGGGTAGCTTTGTCAAATATGGTGAGAAACTGAGCACAGCAGTGGAATCTCCTATAGTAGTTAGAAAATATGTTTTTAAGATATTATATTGTTTTGGCATTTCAAGCTTTTCTATTTCTGTGTCAGAATCATGCTAGAACTTGTGTCCAGTAGTTTTTATTTGCTTAGTAAATGTGCTTAATATGGCACAACCTAGAAACTGTACAATAATATCTCAAGTCCTTACAAAATAAATAATTGGGAAAAGAAGAAAAAAACAGTGAGGCAGGCGCGTGTCAGCAATCCCATAGAATAGCGCAGAGCAGAGTGAAACAGTGAGCAAGTTAAGGCTAATTCCCTGCTGAATATGAAGAAGAAACACAGTGCTTCAGCTGAGCCTTCTTCAGGTGTCAAACAAATTTCCACAGAGGAGTGAACAGTACAGGAATGCAGCCTTAGTTGGTGGTGAAAGTTCTTGTCAGTGTGAGAGACATCAGAGATGCTGTCTAAGCAGATGCGTCTCAATGCAGAGCTGCTGACCAGTGTGCAAGGACTGGGCAATTCCTGTTTCATTGCAGCACCGCAGGAGTCGGGGATGGGAAAGAAATGGGCTTGGGGGTGGGGAAATGGCCTGGCAGAGGTAGTGGAGGGAGGATGGCAGGGAGTTTTGAGGACAGAATGGGCCAGAGGGGTTCAGGAAGTGGGAGGCAAGAACAAGTGTTTTGAAACAGTTGTCTACAGCTACAGGGTGCCAGAGATGGGACGAGAGTAGCTGTGTGACATGAGAGAAACAAGGCAAAGAAAAGATCACACAAGTAGCAGAGTTCTGAATGAATTGGAGAGGACATATGGCACTGGCCTGGAGCTCAGCAGTCATCCAGGCAGGACAGCACCAGGAACTGGACTGGAAATCGTGTAGACAAGTTAGTGAGAAAGGGGTGGGCCCTGTAGACTTCACAGGAAAAAGCAGCTCTTGTACCAACACATTGTTCTGATTCTAGTAATAGAAATTCTTGGAACATTTTCTATCAGGTTTTACACTGAAAGTCCTGGCTGTGCATTTTTTAAGTTTTTTTAAGCAATTGTTTTGTGTAACAAAAGCAGTTTTTCAGTGTTAAACTTCCCTTTTCTCTCTCTTCACTGCAGAATGTTATTGAACGAAAGCCATATCCTGAAGATGATAACCTTTTAGAAATAAAGTTTGCTAGAACACCGATAATGTCCACGTATTTAGTAGCATTTGTTGTAGGGGAGTATGACTTTGTTGAAAGCAAGTCATCTGATGGTGTGATAGTTCGTGTTTATACACCAGTTGGGAAAGCGGAACAAGGGAAATTTGCTTTAGAGGTGAGTTTTTCCTTCAAGTTGGTCTTGATTTATTTGATTTTCAATTTTCTTTACAGTGCTATAATTTTTTTTAAACAATTAAATTATTTGTCCCCATCAGTCTTAGAACCTGTTTAAATTGCCTTTACAGTTTAAATGTTTAATATACTTGTGTACTTCCATCTTAGTCTTACAATTTCAATTCCAGCTTAGGGCTGTTACCTGCTTCTGAACAAAGAGGCGTGCCAATCATATTGTCACTTCAATTCTGAGTTTAGCTAGGTGCTTTTTTTAATTCATTACATTAACTACCTGTAGGTAGCAAATAGAATAGGCGGTTTTTCTATTCCTGGACTGTAGGAGCCTTTCAGACAGAGTAGCATTATTTTAGGATTCCAGCCTCAAGTGCCAGCTTTGTGGTATTAGGAGTCTTACTCCTGGCAGCTCACTACTAATTGTAGAGGTTAATTATTCTGTATTGATAACAGAATCAGGAAATCACTGTTCATCGTTTGTTGGTATATCTGAATTTAATGATGAGAACCGATGTGTCGAGGTAGCTTAATGAGTGGTCATTTGTGCACACAAAACAGTTTTTCTATTTATTTGTTTACATCTTGGTTTCTTTTTTCTAGGTAGCAACCAAGACCTTACCTTTCTACAAAGATTATTTCAATGTTCCATACCCTCTGCCTAAAATTGATCTTATAGCTATTGCCGATTTTGCTGCTGGTTAGTACACTAATCTTTATTTTTATTTTTTTCTAAATGGAAAAAGACTTTCCATTAATGTGTTTTTGAACTGTTAATAGGTGCCATGGAGAACTGGGGCCTAGTTACATACAGGTATGTACTTGATATGTCTTGTATTGATACCTGATATGTGTTGATAATTGCAATTCCAGCAGGAACCATCTTTTTGTCCTGTTGCGACTTGTATCTGTATAAATCTGTGTAGTGTTTTGTTTGTTGTGAGTTTGGTTGTTATAATTTTCCAGAGGATTGTGTTTTCCCACAGAGAGACAGCGCTGCTCATTGACCCTAAGAATTCCTGCTCCTCCTCGCGACAGTGGGTGGCCTTAGTGGTTGGCCATGAGCTGGCTCACCAGTGGTTTGGAAACCTGGTCACTATGGTAATCTCTTATTACAAGTTGTGCAGATTCTGTGCTCACATTGCGAGTACCATTTTGGGACACTGATCCAGTATCGTCCGTTTACATCTTTTGTGTTCACTGCCAAATTTATTACACTATTCATTTGTTTCTTTAAGGATATTGTCTGTTGACATCAGTAACAATTGTTTTTAGTCATGTGAGGCTCAGGGACAAGTCTGGTTCTTGCTTGTGTTCCCATGACTGCTGATGTATAGGAATGGTGGACCCATCTTTGGTTAAATGAAGGCTTTGCCTCCTGGATTGAGTACCTGTGTGTTGACCACTGCTTCCCGGAGTACGACATCTGGACACAGTTTGTCTCGGCTGACTACACACGAGCGCTAGACCTTGATGCCTTGGACAACAGCCATCCCATTGAGGTACACAGTGACCAACAGGAGCTGGAATAACCTGGGGAAAGCTCTCCAGAACCATCTCTCCAAAGCATGAAAGAAACTTATCACATACAACCAAACAAATTCATAAAGTTACCGTCAAGAAATCTTTATAACGTTCACTGACATTGTAGTTAATAGACATGGCATTATTACATTTGTAATGCTGATGAACAGCAGATGGTCTAGTGTTAATATGACAAACTAGTAGTGTCTGTGGCCACCATTACAGCAATACAGTCTGTACATCTGTGACAGATGCAGTTTATGGATTTTTTTCTTCATGCGGTTCTGTCTCATGTGCCTGTTCGCTTGGCTCTGAGCCCCATCTATCCTACATATATTCAGTGGGGTTCAGATCTGGTGTGTTGGGCAACCATACAGTTGTCAAATTTTCATCTCGCAGGAAACCCACTATTACAGAATGAGACTGGACCTTATCCTGTTGGATGTGGCCCTGTTAGGATGAGTATATTTGATAAAGTACTGAGTGAGGTCTCAGGGCTTAATTTATGTAGCACCATACAAGTACTGCAAGTGGAGTTCTGTTGGGACACTCCTCCCCAGACCATCACACTTTGATCTGCCATTGAGTTTGGCAAGATATCATGACTTGTGGACTCCCAGATTGTGGCTTGTTGCAGACATATTTTGTTTGGCTCCAATATCTTGCCAAGCTTGCAATTGCTGGCTACAAACACCCGTATGAAGAGTGAAAGTGCTCTAACTTTGCTCAGCCTCTGACATACCATGGGATGATGGTGTTCTCTTGATAAGCAGGCTATAGTTATTTATTTCTGGGTTTCCTTCCTTGATTATCACCAGGATTGTCATTCAGTAGGGCACCTCCCTAAGCAGCTGTACTAGTCACTAATGTTGTGATTTAGTGCTCATTCAACAAGACATTGTCAAGTCAAGGGCATCAGTAAAGAATAATCATTGTCATCAAAATGACATCAAACACATTTAAGTACTACAAATAAATCCATGTATGTTTTCAAAAACATACATGTATAAAAATACAAGTTATAGGTTTATTCCATGCTGAAACGAGAAGAGAGAAAACACAATGTTTTGGCCGTGGAGCCTTCTTTGGATGTGAATGTATAAAGATGGAGATAATTTTTGTAACTTAATACTATGTGTGAAACTAAAAACATGTCGTATTCACAAGCTACAGACATCTTTCTGAAAATAGATTTTGTCTAAAATTAGTTTTGTCTTGCTTTTAGAGTAGGACTTAATTTTTGTATTGCAAATTAACCATGAAAGGATGCTTTATAACATTTAGGCAACTTAAACGTAGACCCTTCTTTGACAATCTTAAATTCCTCATCATACATTTCCACAAGTCTTTTGAGAAAAGTGTATTTTACCTGGAAGAAGCTGTAATTAACAAGAGAAAGGTGCATACTTTCACAAGCTTAAGAGGTAAAATAGCTTTGGTAAAACTAGTTAAGAGTCTTGTGGATGCACTGAATATACAGTACAGTGTACTGTATATTCAGTGTAATACAGTTACAGTGGAAGAGACTTGTATTGTTATCAAATGCATTACTTCCTTTCCTCTTTTAATTCTTCATCAATTTAGTTATATATAACTAAAGTACACACCTGTGTTCTGTTTTTTCAGGTCAGTGTAGGACACCCATCGGAAGTTGATGAGATCTTTGATGCAATCTCCTACAGTAAAGGAGCATCTGTAATCCGTATGCTTCATAACTACATAGGGGATGAGGTGAGGAATTGGGGGCATTTCAAAGAAATGGTTATTTTTATCCAATTAAGATTTTATATGAAGTGTAATAGGTTTGCATCTATAACCTTTACCACAGTACATAATTTGTGTTTAAGTTTAAATCAGTGTATAAGAAATGTTACAAATGAAAGGAGCCAGTATTTCATCCAGCTGTTTCCAGAAGTGAGGGTATTGGCTGGGCAGCTTATTCTGTTCTCCCACAAACCTAACTGCACTTCAGTGTCTTTTCCACTTGTGTCTTCCAGTCCCTGCTTCACTATTCATTTTTAAATACGTCCTCTGGGTGGGCTTTATCGGTTCCTTTAAGGATCCCCTCATAATCATCTCTGTTCAAGACTAAAAGATTCAGTTCCTTCTAGCTTGTCAGTGTTGTTCAGTCCCCTCAGCCCCAGAATTTAAATGTTTTTTTCTCTGGACTGTTTCCGGAGCGATATCTTTTCTATGATATAGAGACCAATATTGCACACAGTGTTCTCAAAGAGGCCTCATAAGTATATTACAGGAGACAGGTGTAACATCGTTTTGTATACGTTCTACACTTAAAACCAAAATAGGGCAGCAGTATGGAGCAACATTTAGGGTTCTCTGCTCATAACTGGAAGGTTATGGGTTCAAATTCCGAGTGACACACAACTGTTGTGTCCTTGAGCAAGATACTTCACCCAGATTGTTGCAGTAAAATACCCAGCTGCATATATTGGTGTGAAGTCCCTTTGGATAAAAGCATCACCCAAATAAGTAAACATTTTGTTTGCCTTTTTTTTGTTGTCTCGCATTGTCCAGAATGTATAAATGTGTAAATCTTTTTCATAAACTTATTTTGCTAAAATTTAATTTGCACTTTCTAAAGAGTTTGCTTACCCTTATACATTAATAATAATCATAATAATTAAAATTATTAATTAATTGCTTACATTTATATAGTGCTTTTCTGGACACTCCACTCAAAGCGCTTTACAGGTAATGGGGATCCCCTCCACCATCACCAATGTGCAGCATCCACCTGGATGATGCGACAACAACCATAGTGCACCAGAACACTCACCACACATCAGCTCTCAGTGGGGAGGAGAGCAGAGTAATGAAGCCAGTTCAGAGATGGGGATTATTAAGAGGCCATGATTGGTAAGGGCCAATGCGAAATTTGGCCAGGATGCCAGGGTTACATACCTACATTGGTATCATATATAAAGTAAACTACTACATCAGTGATATGAATTGAGAAAAGCTGTGGCCCCAGTACAGATCCCTGTAGTACGTCAGTAATCACATTTGAGCATCTACCCATTATCCGTACTCTGGTTTCCTGTTCTCTGACCAACACACACATTTCCATGAATATCTACAGCCTGTAATTTGCAAATAGGTCACTTATTAAAAGCCTTTTTAAAATCTTAATACACCATATAATATGCCCTATCTGTATCTGTCACTGCTGATTCTTGTTCAAAGAACTCTTAACAAGTTGGTCAGGCAAGAGATGTTGTGGCAGACCTTGTGTTTAAGGTTATTAGGCTGATTTGATCAGTCTAGTGCCCTATTGGGATGAGAGAGCTAAGTTTTCTAGAGTCAGTTGGAGCCCCGTTGAATCTGCCTGGTTTCAGCTGAGCTCCTCCTCAATAGCACATGTTTCATACAGACCTTTTTTTGTTGAACTTTTTTCTTCCTCAGGACTTCAGGAAAGGAATGAATGCCTACCTTACAAAGTTTCAACACAGAAACGCATCAACAGGTAGTGAAGTTTTATTTGTGAGACTTGATGTGATGATTGTTCTGGATCTCTAGGTGAGATGGTTTTTGTGTAAAAACAGGAAAACTGTTACAGGCTTAATCTCCTTTTTTGCATTATTTACATTCTTGTGTGTGTTTGACCAGCCTGGTGGATTAGACCTGTATGTACTGTAGTTGTACCTTGTTATCCTCAGAGGTTCAGCCTCACTCTGTTCTGCCTGCATGTTAATCAGTATGATCTTCATGCTGCATTGTTCTTCACTGTTCCTGTTGTGTTTTATAGAGGACTTGTGGGAGTGCCTGGAACAATCAAGTGGAAAACCAATAGCTGCTGTTATGAGCACGTGGACCAAACAAATGGGATTTCCCATTATTGTTGTGGATCAAGAGCAGGTGCTTTGGCCTTCCCATACAAATGTGCTAGACATTTCAATATCAAACCTTACAGCTTGAAGAAAGAATTTGAATCCTACATTTGTGTAATGTCATTCTCATACGTGGTTTGTCATTTGTGTGTCATTATATGTGCATTGCAGTTTGCTGTGCATTTACCCTGCATGTGCATTCATGTGCATACAGTGTATAGAATACATTTCTGTTTGCTGTTTAAGAAGTTTACACGTGCACAAGGAGTCATAAAATTTGCCGATTTTCCAGCAAGGAGAAGACAGGGTGCTGAAGTTGTCCCAGAAGAAGTTCTGTGCCAGTGGGCCATACAATGGTAAGCCAGACAGCGATTACAGTTGTGAATCTCACAGAGCAGCCGTGTCACATTCAGAGACCTCAGCCTCTGGCATGTTTTACCACTTGTGCATGATGTTGTGAGAAAGCCAGGATTGGGGGTCAGGGTGCCGGGAGAGGGCCATGGATTCTGCACAAGACCCGAGATCGGAAACTAATAAAACCCATTACCCATCCTCCAGGTGATGAGTGTCCAAGCTGGAAGGTGCCCATCAGTATCTGCTCCAGTGATGACCCCAGCTGCACCAAGCTGAGTGTGCTGCTGGACAGTCCTGAAACCACTGTCACTGTGAGAAATGTGGGACAAGATCAGTGGGTTAAGGTGAGAAGAGTAGGCGGGAGGAAAGAGCATTCAGGTTCAGCAAATATTTATTTCTTTATTTGAACTTCCAGAAGCTTTGCAATTTATTTCTTGACTGTTATGTTCTTTGTAATCTCTGTGTAATAGTAAGAGGGATTTGCAGCATTCCAGTCAGAGGCCATGATCTGGGAATAATTGAAAAACAAATCTGAGTGATTACCCTGCAGCCATCAGTGCCCATAGTCTAGTCTAGGTCAGCACTTACACTAAAGTTAGCCTACCAGAGCTGCTGCCCACAGTGAGGCTGCTCCTGCTTATACATGTTGATTGATTTATTGACTTCATCACATGCATCACTTGTTGTCAGGATGTGAAAACCTTGCCCAGATATGGTGATGTGCATAACCATAATTACCATTGAAATAAACCCCAGCAATGTAGACACTGGAGTGTTATAAATGTTGGTTAATTGGTGGGTCTGCCTTGTTGTTCTGCTGTCTCTGCTGTTTGAAGTGGAAAGAGTTGCAGTTGAAAACCCAATAGCTAGTAAACAGGGAGTATGAACAAAAAAAGCTTTGAAAGAGGATGCCTTTAGTAGCATTGACACAGAAAATTAGAGATGTTAAATAAGATTTCGTCACTGATCACTAAGACAATTATTTACCCTCTGTTCATGTTTGGCAGTATTTTAATTGAAGCCCTATTCATTCACCTCTTTGTTCAAATGTTTCTTTGTTTGCAGTTTTTAATTGTTAATGGAATTTTGTTTTACAGAATTACAGCCTGTGGTGGGGTGGTTCTGTAAACCTACAAATGGAAAAATATCTTAAAAGTTGCAAACCTACTAAGTCAAGCACATCATTAGATTTTTATTAGAATTTTTCTTACTATATATTGGGGGGATTTAATTGTTTAGAACCAAATTATATATCAATCATGTTTTTTCTAAATCTTCATATTCTGATGATAGAAGATATTAAAGAGAATACATGATATTTTGAAATTGAAATGTTTGCATTTAATGCAAACCCCTGTGCTGTTGGTGAAAAAAAGTTTTTTTTCGGTTTATAGTCATAATTAGGTATAGAGAAATGTGGGATTAGAGTCACTATTTAAAAGCAAGCTTTCCATGTCAGTTTAGCTTTAAAAATGCAGCTCAAAATTTCCTGAGTGTGTTTTTATGTGGCTCTAAATGTGTGCATTGCTGTGCACTGTAAGGAGCAGGAGCTGGGCTCTTGGAGAATCTATTGTTCCTGATGTGCTCCTGGATCTCTGAGCATTCAGTGTTTAACAGACTTTCAATTGGCTTACCCTTCCAGTCCCTTCCTGCCATGTTTCAGGAGGCTAGAAGTAGAAATTTATGAAAATATATAAGAAAACTGATACAAGGATTTTTTTGCTTAAGCACCAAATAACAGTATTCAAACCATACTATTTAATAAAAAGTAATACATTAGGTTTTTCTTGAAGCATTTGAGAAATAGGCAGATAGTAAATTTACATTAAATGAGAAAATAGCCCAGTTTTCATTTTGCTGGATATTGGTTTCAGTCCTCAGACCTCTTTTTTTGTTATTTGTAAACTAAAGGCTTGTTGTCTATCTGCATTTCTGCATTCTTAAAATAATTTAAATAATGCATGCATTACAATTGTGCGAGTTTTAAAAATGCGTTGTCTTAAGAGAAAATGTTCTACGTGTTTAATTTCAGATCAACCCAGGGACGGTGGGATTCTTTCGCATCCAGTACAGTCCCGCCATGCTGCAGAGCCTGCTGCCCGGCATCCGCGACCTCACGTTGCCACCTGTTGACAGGCTGGGCCTGCAGAACGACCTCTTCTCCCTGGTGAGACACGCCCGGCAGCCTCAGGAATACAGGCCCGGCTGGAAAAGGCATTGGTGGTTTATACAGCTTCCATCGATTAAGAATATTTTCACAGTCATTATTACACGGAGTATAAGAACATAAGAAAGGTTGAAAACTTTAATTAGTCCAACTTCCTTTTTCTGGCTCCGAGGTCCCCTGAACTTTCTGCAGACAGAGGAGTCTGTCTGGCCTGGCTTGATTACTCATGGATCTGTGTCTCTTCTTCACCCATTAATTTGTTAAGCACCATGGATCCGGTGCAAGCTGGACTTTGCATGGGACTGTTCCCATGGTTTATGTTCCTGGGATCAGCCAGGCTTGCAGACGTTTCTAAGGCTTCAGTTGCCTGACATCCCTGAACAGGAGTGGTTTTTAATCCTCTCAGCTACAGTTCAGACTGGACTTGTTACCTGTGAATTCTACCCATACATTTATACACAGTCATGTTGGAATATTTTTTTTCACCCTTGTAATTCAAATAATGTTTTCTGTGTTTAACCAATCATTTAAAGTGATGGCTGTCAATGTGGCATGGCAAGGCATGTTATTTATGCAACGAGTTTGATCAGTATAATTCACAACTCAAATATCTCAGTTTTACTTTGATTTGAATGGTGAGCATTCCTTTTTTGGCTTGGTCTCCCCAGGCCAGGGCCGGTATGATCAGCACAGTGGAGGTATTGAAATTGATGGAGGCCTTTGTCAATGAGCCCAACTACACCGTGTGGAGTGACCTGAGCTGCAACCTGGGCGTCCTGTCCTCCCTTCTGTCACACACCGACTATCACGAGGAATTACAGGAGTTCATCCGTGACCTCTTCACCCCTATTGGGCAGAAGCTGGGCTGGGACACCAAGCAGGGGGAGGGTGAGCTGAGCACAGCCAGGCCTTTTCTCACTCCAGGCTGAACAGACGGGACGTGCTACATACATCACTAACTGAAAAGTACATAAACAACAATGCAAAAACATTTGTTCACGTAGGAAACAGACAGACATTCTTTAACCTGCTCTTTGGCTTGGTTTTGTTCTGTTTTTCTTTGTTATAAGGAAATGATATGCCAAGCGCTTGAGCCATACAGCTTTGTACAAATCTAGTTTTCCCTCAAACTAGAGTGCTAGGTGACCGCAGACAAGTGACTGTCGAATACAGTTCTGCCTGTATCTGCGTCAAGTGGTACAAGAGCTGGTTTAATATGGCATTTTTCCCTCTTTTAAGATGATTTTTTTTATGTGAAAAGAAAGTTTTTGTATCGATTCCCAGGTCTCATTTCATCTATATCTGTATATTAAATATCTTTGATATTTAGTGGTAATAGAAGCAAACATGAAGTCTTGTTTTGACAAAACATACTTCTTCCATATAAGGGTATTAAAACTAACTTACATGATGATAATTATATATCCAAGCAGCTGTAGGCAGAATTTCATCTGCTATATAGTTGCTGCTCTGGCACGTTAGTTCAGAGACAGCTTATAAGAACAATTACACCCGACAGGAGGCTATTCAGCCCATGCAGCTCAGTTGGTAGTTATTGATCCAGGGATATCGGCTTCACAGACATGGCTTGTTCAAGTACCTTCTGTTTTCAGTTCCACTGAGCTTCAACATGTGCAATTAGTGGTTAGTTCATTAGCTGCTGCACTTGTATTGCCGAGTCCTTACCTGCCTGTCTGCTCCAGGACACCTGGATGCTCTCCTCAGGGGCCTGGTGCTGGGCAAGCTGGGCAAAGCCGGACACAAGCCCACCCTGGACGAGGCACGCCGCCGCTTTAAGGATCATGTTGAGGGGAAACAGATGCTCTCTGCTGACCTCAGGAGCCCGGTACGGTTCGCTCACGAGCATGTTCTACTGCGGCTCCAGGGCTGTTGATTTTATTGTTTTTTAGTAGACTGCGGTTTCTTTGAAGTCGGCAAAGGCCACAGGAGACAGAAATCTCTGATCCTCAATCATACCCAAACATGCAGTCTAGGACTCTCAAGGGAAACCTCCCTGGTCTTTTCATACGTCCTCAGGGACACTGCTGTTTCTATTGCAGATGAGACTATAGCCTGCATGTTTCTCATTTCAGGTCTATTTAACAGTATTGAAGCACGGAGACAGTACAACTTTGGACACTATGCTGAAGGTAAAAATATATACCATCTCTGTATTATGTGCACAAAATGCACTGCTGGAATGAACAGAAAGCTTGTTGGAAGATTAGAAGGGTTTGAACTATTGATGGTGTGGGGTGCTTCCAAGAACAGATGTGCCCAAGTGCCACCTTGTGGAATTCCAGCAGATTATTTTCAGGTAAACACATTACTACATTGTAGCAATATCATTTGCTGTGCTGTGAAGTTATGTTTGTCACTCACTGATCAATTAATGGATTATCTTGGAGATCATTTACAATGTTACTGACAATGTTGTGATCCTATATTTAAAAAACATCCATGCTTCATGGCTTTATCAGGAGACCAAATTGATATATATTCAGTTACTTGCATCTGTTTTTAAATCTTCTGGCTAATGTGAATTTTATTTAGTTCATGGTTCAGCTCTCTCAAACTGTAGACAGCCAGTACGCAGGTAATTGCCCTGCCAGGCGGAGTCCTGTGGTGAATTGAATAGTGATTGGTAAGGAACTTTGACTCTCCCAACAGCTCCACAAACAAGCAGACATGCAGGAAGAGAAAAATCGCATTGAGAGAGTGCTGGGAGCCATTTCTGCCCCTGATCTCATCCAAAAAGTGCTGAACTTCGCTCTGTCGGTACGTGTTTTTTGGTTTGGAGTGTCGGTGTGTTCCCATGTTCATTGAGTTTGTCCTCCAGTGTGCCACTGCCCACGGGCACACGTCTCTCGCTGCTGCTGTCCCACCAGGCTGTTGTGCTTTCTGCAGGAGGAGGTGCGTCCCCAGGACACGGTGTCCGTCATAGGGGGCGTGGCAGGCAGCAGTAAACAGGGCCGGAAGGCAGCCTGGAAATTTGTGAAGGACAACTGGGAGGAGCTGCACAACCGCTACCAGGGAGGATTTCTGATATCCAGGCTGATCAAGGCACGTGTTAATCCCATTCTTGTCTGAGCTGTGGCAAGGGCAGTGGTTTTGGGGACCAGTAAGCAATTCCTAAAGATGTGCATTGTAAAAATCTAACCCCTGTATTATATTTTTAGACCTGCCTGTTTTCTGTGGCTGTATATTTTACTTTTGAACAGAAAACAATGTTAGTTTTGTTGATATTTATTAATGGTTTGACCATAACACTGCTGCATTCTTTTAATGAAGCACTCATTTGATCGGCACAGCAGATACAAGATACAGTAATTGTGGCTTTATAAATTTAAGAGAGGTTGTATCAAATAAATTAATTAATCTTTCTCCTTCCTCTTTCAGCTTACTGTAGATGGTTTTGCTGTAGATAAGATGGCTGCAGAAGTGAAGGTAAGTGTATGTCTGCTGACCAATTATTATAATCATATTCCTAGTGAATATTTGGTTGATCAAGAAGGTTGCTATAACTCAGTTGTCATTGTTTAAAATTTTGTGCTGCTGTTTTCAAATAATTATGAAATCCAACCCCCCCCCCCGATGGAAACTCAGGAACTGTGGCAGGTGTGTAAAGGCAAGTGGGGGGGTCCTGTCAGAGTGGATGTTACAGGTTTGCATGTGGTTTTCCATTTGGGATTTTTCCTAAATTACCTTTAAAGGTGGTGAACCATTCTGTGCCATGTCTGTGATGCAGTGTTTTTCCACAACTCGTTTTTTGGTCACATGGTTTGACAGTCTTAAATTTAGTAAAAACACTTCAGTTACGTCACCCTCACAACTGTTCTGCAAAGTGAAGTAACACATGGTAAACATTAAGCAGGCAGTGGTGTCTGTCAAGATTTTGAATACTTCAATCGGGTCCATTTGTCATCTTTTCAGTTCAATGCCCCTGGTGAGGGGACTTGATGCCAGTATTTGAAATCCTCTGGGGCACTGAGAAAGTCAACCCTGCAGTAAGACATGAATCAGGGGAGACAGGTGTAAATTCTATAGAAGTGTATTTCTAACAGAGAATAGCACTTCTTTTCTCAAAGGATTGTGGGAGCACGGACTAACATTAGATGGTCGGGTAAAATAATGTGATCTGTTAGCTACTAACTATCATGCAGGCTAGATGAGTCAAATCCAAGTTACTATATGACTTTTCACTTCAGCCCAGGAATGTACTTGGTCATTTTACTCTATCCTGATTCTGTCTTGTAAATGAGGCCTTACTGGTACATTGTACAGTTTTGGCATGAAATCTCTTTATTTAAGTTCTACATTTTACCTATTTATCGTGTACCTACTGTATTAAAAAAATAATTTGAACACATGGTCTATACATAAAACCTATTTCCAAGCATGACCTTATTTAAGGAAGCTATTAATACCCTGAGCTATTCATAGAGTGTATTCTGTCTTAGGTCCTGAAATGCCAGTGATACCAATGCATTAGTGCACATTATCATGACCTTTAGTCCCGGAAAATCACTGTGGGGTTCACATTACAAAGTGTATTAAAAACAATGTAGATGAAGGCTATGTTTGTGCACAGTACTCCTTTTTTATAACCTTGCTCGGAGTTGTGTCGGATATTTTAGGTGCAACGTTATTGTTGGAAAAAGCATTTTTACCAAGTCCTGATAAGATCACTTTATTGGCCATATACAATTTCTTGTATAAGGAATTTGTTTTTCGCATACCCCAACTTGCTCTCCATGAGACACACACAGACAGGGAGAGAAGCTGGGGGTCAGAGCGCAGGGTCAGCCATTATACAGCGCCCCTGGAGCAGTTAGGGTTAAGGGCCTTGCTCAGGGGCCCAACAGAGTAGGATTCCTCTGCCGGCCGCGGGATACAAACTGGTAACCTTCCTGCTACAGGCTCAGATCCTGAGCCACAGAGCCACCGCACCCCCCCAAAATTAATTCATAAAACATTCAGATGAAGGCCATGTTTGTGCACAGTACTCCTTTTTTATAACCTTGCCCAGAGTTGTGGGCATTCATTCATGATTCATAAAACAGCACATTTGGACTTACTTTAGAACTCCCTATTGTGCCTCAACACACCTGCACTTTTTTTCTGAAAAATGCTGATTAGTTACTGTCATGTATGTACCACAACACAAACTACTAAAAGAAACAAAGTAACGGGAGGCAAGGACTATGTTGCAGGCTGATCTTCTCATTTACTGGACTGCATGGAACTTCTTTCCAATTACACATTACATATAATATAGCCTCCGAGGAGGTATACATCCGCCAAAGGAAATAGATCCAGCGAGTAAATCTACGTATATTACACTTCCTCACCTCTTAAATTAACCATACAAAAAAAGTGAACACACAAGTTATATCAGATTAAACTTAAACTAACCTTAAAGAAAATTAAATAAACAGTGTATCAGAACAGTCTTTGTGGAGGTTTTCTACACCTCTCAAGGGACTTGGGGCCTCTGATTGGTTAATAGTCACATCAGGTGTGCTATCATGCTGCACAGTGTCCTCAGCACTGGCTGAGACTGGAGTAGTGATATCAAGAGCATCCTTATCATGGCCACTTGAATCAGAGACAGATGATGGAATGGATTTCTCCTGAGCGTCCACTATTTGGTCTGCATGACGCCTCCAAGTAGTTTGTCCAATGTCCACTGTGTATGTCAGAGGGCCTGTTCTGGTGGCTGTTCCTGATTGCCACTTGTCAGTCCGTGCAAGGACTTCCGTGAAAGCTTCTTGTAGGTTTATCATTCTTGTGTGCAAACTGTTTCTTTTCAACATCTCGCCTGACACCTGGTTTGATGGGGTCCATGTGTGATCTCAAGTTTCTCTTGAGGAACATCATCGCTGGAGTTTGGCTGGTGGTACCATGCACTGCATTCCTGTACACATATAAGAAGATGTCTATTTTGTTCTGCAGTGATATTTCGTCATTGGCCATTGCTTTGATTGCTTTCTTGAAAGTCTGTATAAATCTCTGCTAAGCCATTGGTGGCATAATGGTATGGGGCAGAGGTAATGTGCTTGATACCATTTTTCTTCATGATCATCTGGAACTCATCTGAGACAAACTGACGTCTGTTGTCAATGCAGATTTGTTCTGGTAACCCGTTCCTGGAGAATATAGTTCTCAAAACAGAAACAGTCCTTTCAGATGTAATTGTTTTCATTGGAACAACTTCAGGCCATTTAGAGTGATTGTAAGCTGCAATTAGGAACATTGAGTCTTTAAATGGTCCAGTGAAGCCAACGTGCTCTCTCTCCCATAGTGCCGAAGGCCACTCCCATGGGTGAAGGGGAGCTAAAGGCAGTGTGTTCTGAACCTTCTGACATCCAGGGCAAGCCTTTGTGAGATCCTCAATGTGCTTATCGATTCCTGGCCACCACATGTAACTATGGGCAAGGCTCTTCATCTTTACTTTGCCTAAGTGTCCCTCATGTAGTGTGTCTAACATTCTGCTGCACAATTTAGAGGGCATGACCACTCTAGAGCTACACATCAGTGTTCCATGGTACACAGACAGCTGGTCTCTCCTCACTGAGAATGCCAGATACAACGAGTCTCCGTGTGCAGGCCATCCTCTCGCAGTTATGTCATAGACATTAGGTAATGTTGGGTCATTACGGGTTTCTCTCTGAATGAGGGCGTTGGTGATGGGTAACTGACTGATGATTGTGATGTGGAATACATCAGCTGGATCAACAACATTTGACTCCTCTGTAGTTTTCAGTGGCAAGCGCCACAAGCCTGCATTACCATGTAGTTTCATCCCTTTGTATTCAATGTCATACTGGTGGGCACCAGGGAAAAGTGACCATCGCTGTAGCCATGCCGACATCATCACTGAGACACCTTTCCTGAGGTTGAATATTGAGACCAAGAGCTGGTGGTCCGTAACCATGGTGAACTTTTGACCATGTAGGTAGTGATGGATTTTTTTTACACCTCATAAAGACTCAGGGCTTCCCGGTCTATTTGAACATAGTTGCACTCGGCAGTCATCAGTGATCTGGAGGCGAAGGCTATTGGTCTAACTGAGCCATGTGGAAACTTGTGTGACAGCACAGCACCAATTCCATATGGCGATGCATCACACACCAGTCTGATGGGTAAGGATGGATTGAAGTGCGCGAGCACTACATCAGAAGTTATGAGTCTCTTTGTCTTTTGAAAGGCTTGCTCACAGCTGTTAGTGCACTTCCAATGTGACCCTGTGTGCAACAGTGCATTTAGAGGATGCAGCACAGTAGAAAGGTTGGGTAGGGATTTGTGGTAGTAGTTCACAAGTCCTAGGTATGAACGGAGTTGAGACACATTCTGTGGCTGTGTTGCCTTAAGTACAGCTTCAGTTTTATCTTGTGACCTCTGGAGACCATCCTTGTCTATCACATGTCCACGGTAAGAGATCTCCCTTTTGAAGAACTCACACTTGTCTTTATTGGGTCTGAGCCCATACTCATGCAGCTTAGCCAGGACCTGCTGTAAGTTATTTAGGCGGTCCTCATCGCTTATCCCCGTCACAATTATGTCGTCAAGGTAACACTGTGCTCCAGGAATGCTTTATAGCACTTAGTCCATTGCCCTCTGCAAGAGGGCAGGGGGCCAACGCAATTCCGAAAACAAGACAGTTGTACTGGTAGAGCCCTTTATGTGTGTTTATGGTTAAGAACTTCTTGAGGTATTCTCCATTTCCATTTGAAGGTAAGCTTGGACTAACTCAATCTTTGTGAAACGTTCTCTACCTAACAATGGTGCAAATATATCTTCAATACGTGGCAAGGGATAAAGTATTGGATTTAAAGTCACTTTAAAGTCCCCGCAGATGTGCACGCTTCCTTTCTTTCCTTTCTTCATCACCGTGACTATGGGTGTGGCCCACTCACTCCACTCTACCTTAGATAGAAACCCTGACTTCTCCAAAGTCTCTAACTTTGCCTCCACTTTGGGGAGGATTGCATAAGGTACAGGTCAAGCCTTATGGAACTTGAGTAGTGTCCTCTTTCAGTTCAGTTTTTGCCTTTATTCCTTTTAATGTTCCTATCCCTTTCTCAAACACTTGTTCAGCATCTGCTAGTATCTGAGCCAAACTCTTGCTGGTGTCCTTGTTAGTGCCATGTGGGAACACGTTCAGTGCTTTTATAGCATGCCAGTCCAGCGGTGTTTTTCGTAGCCACTCATGTCTGAGTAATGCAGGGCCTCCACTCTCCAGTACATACAGGTCTAACTGCTGCCGTTCGTCTTTGTATTTCACATTCGCTGCTATTTTGCCCTCTGGGGACACCTTTTCCCCCTGTATATGTCTCTAATATTACTGAAGTCTTTTGCAGCAGTATTATTGAGGACAATCGTTTGTACTCGGCTGCAGAGATAACAGATAAAGTGGACCCATTTTGAGTTTAACTCCCGACACTTCTGGAGTTATCCAAATGACCCTGCGTTCTGCTTCGGTAATGCTATGCAGCTCGAGACGAGAGATCATCAGTATCTGAACTGGGTTCACTGTATTTGATTCATTTTCGGCCACCTGGTGCACATTAGTTGTTTACGCTCTATATGAAGAATATGAAAGAAGACATATTTATGTATGTTCTTTTTCTCTGATTTACACACTCTCTCAATGTGGCCTTTCTTATGACACCTTCTACACACTTTGGCCTTAAACCAACAGTCATTTGCATCGTGGGACTCTTTGCCACAGCGGTAACATTTTCCCTGTTTTGACTGACATTTTATTGTTTGCACATTCTGTTGCTCTTTGTTGCAACTCTTATGCATCCTTTGCTGCTGTCTCCATAGATATTGCAATATTCAGAGCATGCTCCAGGGTAAAATCTTTCTCTGTTAACAGTCTCTTTTGTATGCTCTGACTATGCATCCCACATACAAGTCTGTCCCTTAATGCATCTGCCAGTCCAGCTCCAAACTGGCAGTGCTCTGAAAGTCTGTGCATCTCTGCCATATATTCTGAAATACTTTCACCTTTAGATTGGTTCCGTTTGTGGAATCTGAACCTTTCGGCTATTACCAGAGGTTTTGGGCTTAAATGTCCATGTACAGTGTCAATGATTTCCTTGAACGTTTTTTCTGCTGGTTTGTTAGGGGTTAACAAACTACGGAGCAACCTGTATGTCTTTGCTCCCATCACACTCCAAAAGACAGACACTCTCTTATTGTCTGCTGCATCATTTGCTTGGCAGTACATTTCCACTCTTTCAATGAACGTTGCCCAGTCCTCAGTCCTAGTATCAAATGCGGTAATAGTTCCAATCATCGGCATTTTTGTTCGTTTCAAAGCCCGTTTTCCTCACACATTAATTAGCTCACAACAACCACTATAAATTCACAATATGTACTGTATTTGAATGAACTCGCACGCTCCCTTTTTGCTAATGGTTAGCGTGTTTCATCAGTGTTTCTTCAGTGAATATTAAGGATTTAATATTTTTTGGGATGTGGGGGTGTATAGACTGTGTAGGTTCGTGAAGGAGCTCTGTCTCCATCTAACAACACACATCTAAACCTCACACCCCTGGGCCCTGGGGCTGCACAGAGCACATAGAGGAAGCTATACTGGACACAAAGTAAAGAGCCTGCAGGTTCCCTTGGGAAATTTAATACAACATCATCCCCTGTATCAGCCATAGTTAGTGTGCACTAAAATGTGTTAATTACCCCATCAGAGTGTAGTTTTGGAAGTTGCCAGGGGGAGTTTTGTGTTTCACACTGACCAGAACTGTCTGCCCCCCCCCCCAGAGCTTCTTCGAGAGCCACCACGCCCCCGCAGCCGAGCGGACGGTGCAGCAGTGCTGCGAGAACATCCTCCTGAACACCGCCTGGCTGAAGCGTGACGCCGAGGACATCCACCAGTATATCCTGCAGCGCCGAGCCCCACCCAGCGCCGCCGTCTGACGCCCTGCGGCCCGCGCCGTCCCGCAACCGGGCCAGGGGCCGAGGGAGGAGTCAGCCACGCTCTCCTGACTCCACTTCTCCACATCAAGTAGACAGGACTGGTTGGAAAATGAATGTAGTTAACCCCATTCTGCCCACGCCAGATTGTTTTCCCCAGACGGAACCGTGCTTGCAAGTAACTAAGCAACATAACTTAAAACACACAACATAACATTGTTGGTGTGAAATGATTCTGGCCAATTTTGTTTCATATTGACATAAGTGGAAATGTTGCATTGTTGAGCGTACTGTGAAATGATGAATTTGCTTTTCTGGAAACAAAGCGTCAAGCGACCACGAGGCAGCTCTGGCACCTCACTGGGGGTCAGGCGGTCAAGTGGAGCTGGGCAGGATGGGCTTAACTTCTCCTCGCGCGGAGAGCAGCCGTTAGCACACAGCAGCGCTGAAGGGTGATGCTGAGAATAGCTCAGTGGGAATGGCTGAAACTAGCATGGAACTTGATATGTATCTATCCAGTGTTTATTCACGCAAGACTTCTCACTCAAGAATGGTGATGTACATGATTTTCTTCCCTCCTCCGTTTCGTAGCCCTTTTCCAGAAGGACTCTTTTCTTTTCCATGGTCCCACACCTCCTTGACCCTGAGCTGCGTCCTCTGTAGAGCAGCACAGAGCCTCTGCCTGGAAACACATCTGTGTATCAGCCACATTAAATAAAATTAGATACAGATATTTTAGTAGATTTAGCAATTGTTTTAAAGTTGTGAAACTCATGAAAAGTTCTTCAAAGCGATTTGGGCCTTTTAAATGACATTTACAGATAATGCTGCATATTAAATTAGTTTTAAAGAAATGAAACTTTCAGGCCCTGAGAACTTTGCCACAAAGTAACTAGGATTTCACGGCTATTGAATTAAGAAGCCTTAAATTGGTTAAACTGGTTTGCAATAATTATTACACTGTGAAGTGGTAATAGTTACTACACTGAAAATAAAGCAATGTTGTACTAACATTACAAATCTACGTGTAGACTTGTTGAAAGGATATATTTACATACAATTTGCTATTTAGTGTGGCTTTGAACCATACTGGAGAAGGTCATCAAACTAATTGTCAAATTGCTTCCCTGAAACATCTGTTGTGCTTTTGTTTAAAAAACGGTTGGTGTTCATAAAATAAAAAATCAACAAGAAGTGTCAATGTGAAATCGCTTTTTCTTTTTTACTCTCTTACAAACTTGTTAGGACCTGTCAGTCATAGGTTACTGGCAACTGAAGCAAAATATTGCTATAAAGCAATGTAATAAAAGGAAAGAATGCCAACATCACTCCTTTCTTCAATGACAGTGTTGATGTGTATGTTTGCAAACCTGGAGCGGTTATCCTTCATGCCAAAGGAGATTGAGCTGAGAAGTGCATCTCCATATTACCCAGTTCCCTGGGGTGTGTCCAGTATTTGGACCGTGCTGCTGTGTTGAGCAGAGAATCGGGAACTGGCACAGCTGCTGTTCTGGCAGTGGTGCCACAAGAGCTGAAGCTGCTTCTCCACACTGGAGACTCGGGCCCACACACGGGCCGCAGAACTGCAGGCCAAGCAGTTGTTTTTCAGTTTTGAGTCGCTATTAAATACTTTTATGAGGGAAAAACACAGATTTTTATTATTCTTATATATTAAAATCTGATTGCCGTGAACTTTGAACATAAAGCAAGCAACCAAACCAGGAGAGGATTGGCCTGTTTAGCACCAGTCTAGCTGTTCGGTAACCTCTTATTCAGAAAAGATTGACTTGCATCAGCCTTAGCCTGCAGAAGGCGGACACCAAAGCACACCATTTTAGTTTTACACAGTTTTTGCAATTTGAGGTCAAGCTAATTTGTGCTCTGCAGCCAGCTGTAAATGAGCTGTCTGTTATGGCTGCAATACCACTGAACTGCAATGTCTGCTTCTCTGTAGCATTTCAGGCCTCCTCTGGTTATGGCCTTATCCAGCAATGTTATGTAACAGAACAATCTTAAACTCTCTGACAAAATTTCTTCTTAATATTTGAGACTGTTGATTTGAATATTTTATACTAAACAGGGCTCGTGTAGCTGCTGTGCGTTATACCTGGAAGCAAATCGCACTGCCTTCCGCTGGGCAAACCTCGAGCTCTGCGCAGTCCACGCGCCCTGCCCTGTCTGTAAACCCAGCGCCCTCGGGCCGCGAGCTGCGCGAGCCGCACCGCCGGGCGGGAAGTACAAACTCTTCCAGCGCCTCATCGCGCCCTGCGGGCCGTGTATCCTTGCACAGACGGAGTCAAATAGTCCCCCGCACACACACGGACAAGGCACGGGAAAGTGCCGCGGAGTTGATGGTTATCAAGGAATCTGCCTTTTCGGATCTATTAAAATGCTCCTATCTACTTCCTACATTTACTTTTCTGACTTTCGTTTTTGAATGTGGATTACGGAAGAAAAGGCGTGCTAAACGTCGACAGGGCGGATGTTGCCCTGTTTGAGCAAATCTCGTTTTCTAGGTCTTAAGAAAAATACTGATATTCAGGGCTCTTTCATGAGGCTGGGGGGGAGGTTAAGTCACCCCACCGGGAAAGTGTATTTTGCATACTGTGATAGATATCGGTGACGGCTACAGTTCTTTCTGATAAAACATAAATTCAGCATACTGCATTGCTTACTTAAGAGGTACAAAGGAAAAAAATCAACATACTAAAATGATTCACTGTGGCTCCGCTCCTCACATGCAAGACCCCCTAAGTAATTATTCCTGGAGCCGCAGAAGGAGCCAGCAGGATGATGTGAGACCACCCGTCGTGCCGGGGTCTGGGTGTGCCCGTGTCTACAGGCCAGGCCTGCGCTGTGCTCCGCCGGTCTCCTCAATCCCTGAGCCCACGTTTCGCCTGTCTGTTTCTCCCGATCACGTTACCTTGCTGCTCGTATTGCTGTTTTTTAAAGTACCTCACTCTGTACTACATCTGTTACTACACCATGTTGCAACATTAGCTGTGTTACCCCCACGCTAATAATGTGACTTGCAGTAAACTATAGATCTGTTATAGTTTACATACAGGCTTGTGGATGTAATCCTGCAGACAGGACGTCTATATTATAATGAATATTCGGGTGAATATTGCTGTTATTAGGGACAGCCGCCCCCGCTCCGTCCGCAGGAGCGCGCACATCTGGCAGGGGGGACAGGCCGGCTCTCGCGGCGGCGCGGGCAGGAGCGGGCCTCGGGGGCGCGCCGGGGACGGGGGCGCGCCGGAGGGGAGGAGGCTCTGCCACTGCGGCGGCGCGTGATATCCTTCCGCGGGAGCGTGAAGCAGCTCCTTCCCCCCAGACAGCAGCACTGCCGCTCGGAGAGCACTTACCGCCTCGCCGGGCGCTCGCTGGGGAAACGCGTTTCATCGTCCGCCCTCCTCCGTTTGGAAACTTTCATGTCATATCGCCTGAATACAGAAGGAGTCTGATCCGGTTTCTGTGGTGCGCTACCAGCTACTACTTGTGTGGAGCGGCTCGGGCAGAATGGAGCTCATCACCATCCTCGAAAAAACTGTCTCTCCAGGTGATTATACCCCCGGAGCCGCGGGACTTCTCTTTATGTCCTCACAACTGCTTTCAATCCGGTGCTTGTTCGGCTTGAAAGCCGTGGATCCCGGGAGAATCGGGCTCCGGAACGGAAAGTTGTTTGTGAAAGGGAGGGAGGGGTGGACTCGGCCTGCAAGCCTGCCGGACCGGCTTTCTGGGGCCGATTCCCCGCGCACGTCGCCCGGCCTCCCGGCGCGGCCCCTGGGCTCCCGCTGGCCTCCCTGGGCCAGTCCAGGGGCGCCTCTGGGCACCGGCTGGCCCGGCGAGGTCTGTCCGGGAAAGCGGCCTAATCGGAACAGGAGGTGTAATTGTAGGGCTCGAAAGGCCGGGTCGTGGATCGGTGTAACTTCTGCATCTCACCGGTGGTTTCCTGTACAATTTATTTAAATCGTGGGTCTGTGGGCAGCTCAAAGTCGAATGATGGGGCTGCAGATTAGTGGTGTCACTAACTTGGGGATCTGAGTGCCGTTTTCCGGCGTGCCCGCCTGCGCGGTGAGCCCTGGCGGCCGGTCCGTGTGGTCCCGCATGAGCTGCCGGCCGCGGCCTGGGGCGCTCCGCCGCCTGCGAGCTCCGCCTGAGAGTGATTTTCTAGGAAAATGGAGATTTCTAGCTGTACGATTCTAGGCCTCCGTGTAGATGTCTAAATTGCTGATCTATAAGGGTATTTTCATTGAGTACCCGTTAGCGGATTTAAGCGACATTTTTGCTCATTTTATTTCAGATCGGAATGAGCTGGAGGCTGCGCAGAAGTTTCTGGAGCAGGCAGCTATTGAGAACTTGGTTTGTATTGGTTTTTTCACCCCCCCAGTCTGTGCTCTGCGTAGATTTCTTGCCCCCTGTCTGGTGCCCAAGTCCTCCATTACGCAGAAAAGATCCTGAATGAAAAAGAGCCATGCCCCCGCTGCCCACTCCATTGTAATCGGCTGTGAGTTTGATTGACGCGCTGCGTGGAGAATCGCGGGCCCGGATTTCCCGTGCAGCGTGTCCAATGGCGGCTCCCGTACAGGGCGTGGGGGCTCGGTAGAGGCAGGGGCCCAGTCCGGGGCCATGTGAGCGCCAATCCGCGGGGCCTGACCGCTTACAGACGGGCTTGGTGGTCTGTGCATCTGGCTTAGAAACCGAGAGTAATTTCTGCTTTCACCTCTGGTACAGAGTTATTTACGAATGACCATCGATGTCCTGAAGTTATTCCCCAGGCTCTGCAGATGTAGGCGTGGACAGAAAAGGTTACTTTTCAGCAAAGGAGAGTGTTCGGATTGGTGGTTATATGTGCAGTGTACAGCGTAGATAGTCATTTTTTAACTTATGCATAAGTTAAAGTGCAAATTTCAATACTACTATGAACGCTTTATAATCCGGTCTTTAAAGTATCTATCATTTTTACATATGTTCAAAGATAAAGATCTGAACTACGAAGCCACTCATGTTGTTCAGAGCCACCTTCATGAGAATACCCTTTTCAGTGCAGGCTGCTATTTGCAAGCTCTGTTCCAACCATGCAGTGGTGCATGCATGTGCAACAAAAACACTGGCATTTGAAGATTACCATGAATCTGCTTAACGTCTCATTTTACTTCTACCGTTGCCTTTTATTTTAAGTAATTGAAATCTTTTTAAGACATGTAATAAGGTTTAGCTCTTTGTCATTTAGTACTAACAGTATGGAAAAGTATGGCAACTGCCCTTTTTTAAACTAATAACTAATTAGTAGGACAAACTTGTGAAAGTCAAAAACAGAGGCCTAATAGTAACTAATAGTTGGCAGAGATTGATTGTGACGTCCAAAGGCATTCCCAGAGAACACACTGGATAAGTTGAGGAGTTGACCTTCCAGCGCTCGGCCTGGTTCGTGGTTTCGGCATGCCGTGCAGGCATCTGCATTCTAGGTCTCAGCCGAGCAGTTCGGTTAGAGCCATCCGTAATGGCAGAAGAGGCATTTATTAACAGAAAATGAACGGACACATTTTTGTGGTAAAGTACTGCTCTGGTGCCTGCTGTGGCTGAGAGTGTTAACTGGGGGTCTTGCAGAAGTGAACATAATAAACGCAGAAGTGGCTGTTTGTTCTAAAAGGGAAGGGGTTACCGCTTGGAATGCTGCTCTTATAGTGTGGAGTCGGGTCAGGGGTCCCCGAGCTCCTGCCTTGGCTGCGATGGCTCATATCTGTGGCTTGTTCATCTCCCAGCCTACCTTCCTGGTGGAACTGTCGAAAGTGCTGGCGAACCCGGGGAACAGTCAGGTGGCACGGGTGGCGGCTGGCCTCCAGGTGAAGAATTCCCTAACCTCCAAAGACCCTGATGTGAAGACGCAGTATCAGCAGAGGTGGCTCGCGATAGATGCCAACGCACGGAGAGAAATAAAGAACTATGTAAGTCTGGCACAGCTGCTGCATTCAGAACTGATCAGTTACCAGCTGAAGTTTTTCGGTTCTTTATATGAGACGAAGTAGGTTCATTCACCATGCTTCATAGCAGACACAAGTGTATCAAGCCAGTATGGTGGTGTTGTTGGGGTGCTTGTTGTGTTCTTTTGAACTATTACATCATAGTGCTCTATAATACTTCTAGCTTCCATATTTATTATTTTAGACACTGGTGTTAAATGGACAGTTCTTTTATTATTAAACTGGAGTTAAAGGAATTGTGTATCACTGCAGACATAAGCAGACCTTTTTTAATAACCCAATACTGACAACTTTCCTTGTTACAGGTGCTGCAGACTCTGGGTACAGAAACATACAGGCCCAGTTCAGCCTCTCAGTGTGTGGCTGGGATAGCATGTGCTGAGATCCCAGTGAACCAGTGGCCCGAGCTCATTCCCCAACTTGTAGCAAATGTCACAGATCCCAACAGCACTGAACACATGAAGGAGTCAACACTGGAGGCCATTGGGTACATATGTCAGGACATAGTAAGTATTTCTGTTTATAAGGGGTTATATTAAGGATTGATATTCCTCTATCTGTCGGTTTGATTGCAAAAGCACTAAATTTTATACGTTTTCAGATGAAGGGTTCATTACAGTCGGACACCCGTGACACAGGTTCAAGTCAAGCTGAGTTTTGTGAACATGCTTTATAGAATGAGCGATGTTCAGACTCACCCGATGCCCTGCTCCATGCAGGAGAGTGGTGAACTCTTGTATCCTCTCACTTGTTCCATCTTTCATGGTTAATTGATTCCTTCATTTTCAGTAGACTTTACACCTTGAGTTACATGATTTCAGCATCCCTGTGTAACCTGGGGTCTGACCTGATAGGGTTTTTTCATTTAGCTAAATCTCTCTGCTTCTCATGTTTTTACCATGATAAAATGTTGACATGGATTCTTAACACTGGAAGTACAAAGTTTTTTCTCACGGTTCCTTAGTTGTCTGTGCAGTTTTCATTAGAGTAAATGCACTTCTCTGATACTGGAAGGAAATGGCATTTGATGAGGTGAATTTAAGATTTCAGGACCCAACAGGTCTGATCTAGTGGTGGAGACATGATAAGCAGAGCACAGGAATTATGTCAGAGTAAGGAGCTACTTCTCTCCTGTGCATGCTACAGGGAAATGTGTAAAAATAGTCCAGCCATACAGGTCAATGATGAGAAACCATGCACCACTCTGACGACTGATGCACCACTGGTTTCTACACTGAGACTGAAACTGGCCACTTTGAGAAATTGTCGCTGATTTGATTAAACAACCAGTGCTTTGCTGGTGATGTATTTAAAATACACAGAAGCATTTAACAGCTTGTTAATTTTGTGCAGCTTTATTTAAAGCAAGCTCTGGGTTTTCCCACATTATTGTTAGATGACGTAAATGGAGCAGGCATCTCTTCACAAAGGGTTGTGGGTATCTGGCACAATTCACTCAGCCATTTTGTGTGAGTGGATGTTTCCTCTGAGATGTGGCTACATGAGGTCCGGGAGTTTGTCTCCGGGAAACAAAGCTGTCTGCATAGCACCATGTCATCCTCTCACTTGTAGTCTTTGTTCCTAATGGCAGGGAAGGGAAATCTACCAAATTAGGGTGCACCTTCTCAAGAGTGAGTTGATTTACATATTCAACAGTCACTAGGCAATGTGTTCAGTTTTTGTGCTCGGACTTGTAGCCCTCAATGTTTATGCACCATTTAATTGCACTTAACTGTGCAAATGAGAATAATGAGAATAAGACTTGGGATAAATCTAAACCGGTGCATTTTCCAGTCTTTGCTAGTTCAGTGTTTAAAAGCAGGTTTTGCTGGGGTGAAAGGAAGTGGCCTTTTGGGGAGGAAAAATTGCAATCAAGCTCGCAGATCGTAATCTGCTGCCAATGAGTAATGGTCCATTATTTTGATGTTGTCTGGGTGTGAGGGAGCTTCATTATGCAGAATGAAGAAAAACAATTTGATCTTTGAAGTTTGGAATAAGAAATGCAGTCATGAAAAGACAACCTGCATTGTGTTAAAGATCTGGAAAAGGTTCAATTCTTGTTCAATCTGTTATTATTCTTGCTATTAAGGGTTCAGTTCTGTAACAAAGCTCAGCCTGAGCAAAAACGAGCAGGAGGAAAGCATTTATGTACAAACTTTGTCGCATTACAATTTGTAGTTTGATTTTACAAGAGCAGGAATTATTCCTTAACATATTGACTTGAGGGTGATTCTCTCTTCTTGAGAGCCTCAGTACACACTAATGAAAGAATTCTCCCAGCACGCACAGCAAGCTCTCTTGTTTTTAACTGTCGCCTGCGTGGTGATGTGCTGTCCAGCCCTGTGCATGAGGGTGTGCGCTCTGTTCACAGGACCCTGAGCAGCTGCAGGATAATGCCAATCAGATACTTACAGCCATCATCCAGGGCATGCGCAAAGAGGAGCCGAGCAACAACGTCAAACTGGCAGCTACGAATGCCCTGCTCAACTCCTTGGAGTTTACCAAGGGTAACTTCGACAAAGAGGTGTGTTCAGCGCAACCGATGTATCCTTACAGTGATATTGGTAAAGGGATGTGCATTCAGTTAACATATGGTATAGTTTTGATAGTTTGATTTAAATACATGATACAGCCCAAAATGAAATGTTACCTGCAATCTGTAGTGTAAATCGAGTTTTTGTTTATAAAAAAATATTGCTGTGGACCACAGATTCAAGAAAGCTTTATTAAATCATCTTAAGTTCTTGCCTAAATTACTGTGCTGGAATGTGACATCTAGTAGCCTAAGTTTCTTACATTCAGACTATGCAGGTTGTTTATCATTGTTTGTGTAGTTTAAGTACAGAAATTGTACACTTGGTATATAGGGATAAATTACGTTTTTTTTTTCACCAGTTACAGCCACCTTTTGAATTTAAATGCCAGTGTGCAGTATTTGCATAATTTGTGTCAAATTGTAGTGATGGATTACAAACTAACAAAACTAATGTGGTTGAGGTAGCATATTGGTGTTGTTTAACACAACTGTCTTCTGTGCCCATGAAAAGATACTTTTTGGACAACCTTCATAGTTTGTCATTGATCGTAGACCATTTTTTGAAGTTATTCCTTTTCCTGTTCTTATAAATGTTTAGTAGTAGCGTTTCCTTTTTAACCACAATTTATTTTTACAGTCAAAATAAAGTTTTTACCACAGTTGTATCCAGTCTATGATGAAAGATCATGCACCACGCTGAAGTATTAGTGTGATGTACATCTTAACCACTAAATCTGAGACTGTATGAATTACCTAAGGCTTTTCAGTATGATTTTATGAGAATGATCTAATCTGACTCCTTTGTTTTACAGACTGAAAGACATTTCATTATGCAGGTAGTCTGCGAAGCAACTCAGTGCCCAGACACCAGAGTGAGTATCTTTATTGAATAGTGAATTATCTTAAATAGTGAAACAGAGCAGACCTTAAATTATAAGTGAGTTTACGATTTTTCATACTACTAGAGCCTGCTATTGCATTAGTCACCTTTCTGAATTCAGATATTACTGTTGACTGAATACAGAACTCGATAACAGTAAAATCTCCTTTCTAATGCATTTGGCTAATTTGAGTAAATTAATATTTAATGTACCATTTTGCAAGAATATAAGAGGTTACAATTGAGAAGCTTATTCACCCTGTTTGAGTTTGTATCAGTGCTAATAACTGATCTAGGTTTTGTCACTTACTAGCAACCTGGCCAGAGTGTCTCTTATTCTGTTTTTTCATGCTTCCTTTCCTTATAATGGGAAAGACAGCTGTAGATGTGTGACAGACTTGATCTAACAGTATTTTTCTCTCTGCAGGTACGAGTAGCTGCTTTACAGAACCTTGTGAAGATAATGTCCCTGTATTACCAATATATGGAAACATACATGGGTCCGGCTCTATTTGCAGTATGTATGCACTTTTATAAACTCACGGAATAGCAGATATTGTGTTTTTTGTATATTGCCAGTATTTGCCATTACAAGAAATCATGCACACTGAATTGTAGCAATGATTGCTTGATTTAAAAAGTGTCTACTTTTATTTTTTTTTCTGATTTGGTGCCTTTTTGGAAATTTCCTAGATAACAATAGAAGCCATGAAAAGTGATATTGATGAAGTTGCCCTGCAAGGAATTGAGTTCTGGTCAAACGTGTGTGATGAGGAGATGGACCTGGCTATTGAGGCATCTGAGGTGAGTCCTTGTCTCTTGCAAAAGTTGAGCCTGTTCCCAGTCCCTCTTGCCGCTGTATCAATGATCTTTTTCAAATCGATCACTGTTTGATTGGCTTGTTGATTAGCTCTTTCTACATTCTAGTAGAATTTTGTTCCGAAGCCGCCTGTACTCCAGTGTTAGTGTGAATGAAGATCTCCTGCTCACTGCATGGTCTGATATGCTTGTAGCCTCCCAGTCAGACAGCTAGAGATCTGTGTGGTAGTTGGAAAGGTCTCACTAATCGAAATACAGATTACAAATAAGATTTGAAGGAGCATCTCTTTTGGTACTACTAGTAACATGGATTCATAACCTACATAAACATTAAGAATTTATCAGCTTTATGGATTTTGAGATAAAACTAGACTTTGTAATTAGAGGCAAAAAAGTCAGATTTTAGCAAATTAAGAAATGTTGATTGAGTTTGACACATTTTCACAAATGGGGATTTTTAAAACAAAACACACACTTTTAAATCTTGTACGATTTTGATCAGAATTTTTCTTTTAGGCATCTGAGCAGGGAAGACCTCCAGAGCACACCAGCAAGTTCTATGCCAAAGGAGCCCTGCAGTACCTGGTGCCCATTCTTACACAAACACTGACCAAGCAGGTAAGAGAAACTACTTGTGAAAAGGGAGATTTACAGTGTAGTTTTTGCAGGGTGGGGCACAGATTAAATTTAAATTAATTTATAATTGTTCACATTCACCCTTAAGGTTAGTTCTTGGTGTCTGTGATGAAACATGGTTCAGTCCCAGCCCCTGGTCCTTGATGAGAAATCATGCACCACTCTGATGCAAGTAGTGATGCAGAACTATGTTGCAAATCTGAGACTGACGGGGCTGTCACCTGCAACTGTGATCCATGTGGATCTGGGGTGTGACTGGGGTGGGGTGAGCTGGGGTATGACACCGGTGCTCTGCAGAGCTGGGTAATAACTCCTGGCCTGTGTCTTGCAGGATGAGAACGACGATGATGATGACTGGAACCCCTGCAAAGCTGCGGGTGTGTGCCTGATGCTGCTGGCCACCTGCTGCGAGGATGATGTGGTGCCGCACGTGCTGCCCTTCATCAAGGAGCACATCAAGCACCAGGACTGGCGCTACCGGGATGCCTCTGTTATGGCCTTTGGGTCCATTCTGGAGGGTCCCGAGCTCAACCAGCTCAAGCCCCTCGTCATCCAGGTCAGCAAAGAGCTCCAACTTCCCCAGTCAGTGTTACAGCTGGTTTTTAAAAGATCAGTGATCACCACTACAAACTCCAGAACTGGAAGAAAGCCAATAAAATTCTAGCAGAAATTGAAGTTATGTTTATAGAACAAACCTTCTGTCTATAACTTGTTTATGGTGCTTAGTTAAAAAAAAATACATTTTAGTATAGTACCAAGTGTTCATAAAGAGTGCTTAACTGACGGATACTGATATTATCTTGTTCAAGCAATCATAAGTATGTGATTGTTGTCTCTTATGCTAAGGTAATACGTAAACAGCACTAGTTGAGGCTCCTAATACCTCAGTCTGTAGTGGTGAAATTGTAAAGACTTGCCATCTTGTTCACAGGCGATGCCCACACTTATTGATCTGATGAAGGACCCCAGTGTGGTGGTGAGAGACACCACAGCCTGGACTGTGGGGAGAATCTGTGAGCTGCTCCCTGAAGCCGCCATCAATGAGGTTTACCTGGTGCCCCTCCTTCAGTGTCTGATTGAGGGCCTAGGGGCTGAGCCCAGAGTAGCTTCAAATGTCTGCTGGGTGAGTTCCCATATCCCTACACTACTAGACTAGAATTATTGATTTGCAGGATCACTGGTCATTCATCACAGTATTGACTCTAGAACATGACAGTGGTAAAGCTCCAGTCTGCTGCAGTCCTGTGAGTAGTTTGAGGCCAATTCCACTCACTACATCTGCTTAGATTTGGACCCTTGTGCTGACTGAAGAATCTCTACCTTCTCCTCTTTTAGGGGTACGTGTTCAAGTTCAGAGTGTCAGGAGTTTACCTCAGTGTATTAAAGCCGCACAGTAAAATAGTTTCTTTGAGTAAAATGGCACTTTTCATTAAAACCTAACTGCTGTTATAAGTCAGCAGTTGCTTATGTTCATTTTTCAACTTTATTATGTTAATGTTCTGTTTTTAAATTATTTTCATTATAATATAAACTATAATGATTGGCAATGTGTGTAAACTTCATGTTTAGAGTTGGACACGTTTTATGTTCAAGGCAATTTGAAGTTGTGTTCAGGTCAACCTGTTACTGCAGTGAACTGTTAAAGAATTAGTCGTTAATGATTTAATTGAGAGAAACTGTGCACCTCCATTTCTAACTGGGGTGTTTTTTGCTGTGTTTTAGGCTTTCTCCAGCTTGGCTGAAGCTGCATATGAAGCTGCAGATGCAGCTGATGATCAGGAGGAGCCAGAGACCTACTGCTTGTCCTCTTCCTTTGAGCTGATTGTGCAGAAGCTCCTAGAGACAACAGACAGGTGTGTGAGCACATGGGCAAGATGATGAGCAGATAATTTCACATGTAGAGTTTTCAGCCATTTGTGAACAGCTTTATACATTGTCTAGGGCTTCCCAGGTGACACCTTGATCTGTAAATATCCAGAACATTGTGTAAATGTATTTTTAAATAACTCCTTACACTTATATTGTGCTTTTCTGGACAGTCCTTTCAAAGCGCTTTACAAGTAATCGTCCACCACCAGTGTGCAGCCCCACCTAGATGAAGTGACGGCACCCATAGCGTGCCAAAACGCTCACCACACACACCAGCTATCAGTGGGGAGGAGAGCAGAGTGATGAAGCCAGTTCAGAGATGAGGATTGTTAGGAGGCCATGATTGGTATTTTTGGTATTTTTTCATTTGGCCGAGGGACCTGGGATTTTTAATGACCACAGAGAGCCAGGACCTTAGTTTTACGTCTTATCTGAAGGAAGGTGCCTGTTTACAGTTTAGTGTCCCCGTCACTATACTGGGGCATTAGGAACCACATGGACCACAGGGTGAGCGCCCCCTGCTGGCCCCACTAACACCTCTTCCAGCAGCAACCTTAGCTTTTCCCAGAAGGTCTCCTATCCAGGTACTGACCAGGCTCACACCTGCTGAGCTTTAGTGGGTTGCCAGTTTTGAATTGCAGGGTGATATGGCTGTTGGCTGTTTTAACATTTTTCTCATCAAAGGCTGTCAAGATGTTGGTCATTTTCTTACTTCTGATATTCTGTCAAGAGTATGAACAGAACAAACAAGGATTTGGTTGACTAACCAAACTAATTACAACGTTTTTATGATTTCAGGCCTGATGGACATCAGAATAACTTAAGGAGTGCAGCGTATGAAGCCTTAATGGAAATTGTAAAGAACAGTGCGAAAGATTGTTACCCAGCTGTGCAGAAAACCACACTGGTCATCATGGAAAGGCTGCAGCAAGTGTTACAGATGGAGGTACGTTGAAGTATTGAGGAAGGATATGGAGACGTAACCACTATACCTGACATTAAATATCATTTGTGATATTTACAGTAGAGTTTGAAACATCCAGTTTGTAATCAGTCTGCTTTGTTAGTGCTTTCACTTTGTTCAAAGGGCAAACAGAATAACCAAAAAAACAGTGTAAAACTTTATCATGGAGATACTGTATAAAGTCTCGTGTTTCTTGTTTTAGAATGATGCTTTCATATTTGATAAAGTTACAGATGTGTTAAACAGGTTTGGCTTTTTATAATTGTTTTTTGTATTGTGTATGATTCAATCATAACTTAATGGATTCTGACCTTTGATTAAGGTAGCTAACAAATCTTATCTTCTCCCTAAAGTCTCACATACAGAGCACATCAGACAGAATCCAGTTTAATGACCTGCAGTCACTGCTGTGTGCTACCCTTCAGGTGAGAGGTTTTTCTATATGTCCCTGAACCTCAGATGGCCCCCAGACATACCCCAGAACATAAACTGAACTTAGCCTTCCCAGCCATATCTCTAAAGCTAGCAGTGTAGTGGATATCGGTGTGGCTTTCAGGTTCAGGTAAAAACTTGTGAATTCTCCATCTTTTTTTTTTACTTTCCTAATCTGTACTTATAGCTTAAGGAGAAGCACTAGCTTTTTTTACCCCCTATGGCTATTTAGTCTATAGTGGTATTGGCACATGACATCCCTTTAAACTTGCTTGAGGCCAGTTAGTTTCCAATTGAAGAACTTCTTCATTCCGAAAACTCGCATTAATAAATTCCATTTTAGTCCCAATAATTTAGATGTGTATATGGTTACACATTTTCAGCAGTCATGGAAAGGGACGAACAGTTCTTTTCAAAAGATCACATGAAGTGTACATGGATTGCCAATGTAACATATTAAGTTGTCATTGATAATTCTCTTATACTTAGGGCAGTGAATGCATTTTGCTAAATGTATAACTAGTGAACACCATGACTGCTAATTGCATAGACGAAAGGAAGTAGTCATAACATAAATATAAAAGGTTAACGATGTAACAGCCTTTAAACAAAATGTCCCAGTGTTTCCTGCTGATATGATGCGTGCCAGTCACTTGTGGGAAGTAGCTGGGACTGGTGTCCGTGTCTGTCAAGTTAGACATTTAGAAGCAGTTAGTGGGATCGGACTGACGTGCGCTTGTCTCCTCTCGGCGCCCCTGCAGAATGTGCTGCGGAAGGTGCAGCACCAGGACGCCCTGCAGATCTCCGACGTGGTCATGGCGTCCCTGCTGCGGATGTTCCAGAGCACCGCCGGCTCCGGGGGCGTGCAGGAGGACGCGCTCATGGCCGTCAGCACCTTGGTGGAAGGTGAGAGCTGGGCCACGCTCCGGACCGGCTGCTCTGCGCACCGAACCCTTCATCTCTGGCGCTCCTTCACTGAAAAATCTTGTGTGTTTTCCAGTGCTGGGAAGTGATTTCCTGAAGTATATGGATGCCTTTAAACCTTTTCTGGCTATAGGGCTGAAAAATTATGCAGAGTATCAGGTATGTCCATGTCCCTTTTTACCCTGTTTACCTTTCTTACACTTTCCCCTATTTGCTCTACATCCCTTAAGCCTCTTATTCTGACGTGCCTTCCTCCAGCTATTCTTGCTGCCTCACACCTTTCTGAAGCAACATTCTGGATCGTGAATTTCCAAATTCAAGTAAGCTTTGCACAAGGTAGTCTCTCTTGAAGAAGCCCACACTACAGTTGTTTGCTGCTTAGGTGAATGGTGAAGTCTGGTCTTTTGACCTGCCCAAACTACTTTCAGGAGTGAAAGTTGAATTGGGGTATAAGTGCTCTGACAGGCTTTTGTAAATACAGTCCCTTCATGTGCTTATTCTCCCTGTTTATTGCACACTCTGTCAGCCAGAATGCACTAATTTGTGTATATTGCACATCTGTTTCACCCTTTTTGTCGCGTTATGGGTCATGCCTTTAAAATTAATCTTTTTGGGTGGCTTAGTCTGTAATCCACATCATTTATTTTAGTAGCCTATAAACTATTTTTTTATGGAAATGTTCTTAATGTACACAGCAGTGCACTTAAGTGGTTAAAAACATTTTGCAAGATACCATTTCAATTTCTTTCAGGTTTGTCTGGCTGCTGTGGGGCTAGTGTGTGACCTGTGCAGAGCTCTCATGTCAAATATCCTGCCTTACTGTGACGAGATAATGCAACTGCTGCTGGAAAACCTGGGGGTACGACTGCTTTTGCATTTGGGTTTTTAGAATGGTTTGGTAATTAAAGTCCTGATGCATTTTGCACCACGTTAGACATGAGTGACTTTACGTACATATTTAAATCCTATTTTTAGTGATTTGGTTGTAGGAACGATTTTCACCTAACCTTGAGGCCCCCCTTTTCCACTTTGATGATTTTTTAAATATTCATGAAGATTGTGTTTTCCTTCTTAGAATGAGAATGTGCACAGGTCTGTGAAGCCACAGATTCTCTCAGCCTTTGGGGACATTGCTCTGGCCATTGGAGGCGAGTTCAAAAAGTACCTGGACATTGTGCTGGATACACTGCAGCAGGCATCCCAGGCTCAGGTGGATAAGGTGAGTACTGGGAAGGCTGTGATCAGGATGGTCTCTCATGAAGAGCTTTGTTCCTGATGACCGTTCCTCCTGCTGCTCTGAGTCTTGGCAAACAGGATTTTAGGTCATCACAGAGTATACTGGATCTTCTTCACTCAGGGTACAAGAGGCAGTGGGGCTGCCTGTCTGTACACTGAAATTTGTGGGATCTGACAGGCATCTTTGAGTGTGACATTAACAATCATTTATTGTTGTGCATAAAAATCTTATTTAAATTAACTGTGCAACATGCTGACTTGTCAAATGTTTTTCTTGCAGACAGACTATGACATGGTGGACTATCTCAATGAGCTGCGGGAAGGATGTCTGGAGGCCTACACTGGCATCATTCAAGGCCTTAAGGGTGACCAGGAAAATGTGCATCGTAAGTTTAGATTCCTACTTTGGTTTTCCTGATGACCGTTCCTCCTGCTGCTCTGAGTCTTGGCAAACAGGATTTTAGGTCATCACAGAGTATACTAGATCTTATTCACTCAGGGTATATGAGGCAGCGGGGCTGCCTGTACACTGAAATTTGCGGGATCTGACAGTTTCTGTGTGGATTTGAGCAATTAACTTTTTTTGATCTGTGTTTTCAAGAGTTGTTAAATGGTAACTGAGTTCTGGTTTCATTTTAACACTAAAGCATGTTTTACTTTGACTGTCACTGGACATGCGCTTGAGTATTCACTTAATTAATCTTGACTTTTTCATTCCTGGAATAGCGAGGTGGTCCATGTAGGATATAAGCAGGGGGTGATAAGCAAATGTTTGTTTTTGACGTATTGTATTTAGTAAAAGTGCCTCTCCTGTTACCTTTCCTGTAGCGGACGTGATGCTTGTACAGCCGCGAGTTGAATTCATTCTGTCGTTCATTCACCACATCGCAGAAGACGAGGATCACTCTGACGGGGTGGTGGCTAATGCTGCTGGCCTTATAGGGTAAGAGCCAGTCTTTTTCCCTTCATGTATTTGATAAGAGTAACCTGTTTGCTGAACCAGACTAAGCGCAAAGATTTTCTGGTCACTCTTCCTACAGTGATATCCTGGTTAATTCATACCACCAATGAAATAGGAACAGCAGGTGGCACATAACACAATGAGTTAAAGCTTGGCTACTGCCTTCTTTAAAAATTCATATAATGATACTATAATCATAATTGCACAAAATCTTGTCATAAACTGAATTCCAGGTAACACAAGTGTCATGTTTTTTCACACGGGTGGAAAATGGAAGCAATTCAGTAAAAGCAGTGTTATGATTAAGGTCAGAGAGCACACCAGAGACTACATGCATCTCGTCACTGACCAGCACGAGCCGGGTGACGGCTGAGAAAATAAATGAAAGGGCTGCAACCACTTTCCACTGTACTGTTCAATCTCAAGAAGGCTCCTAGTACAGCGGGAGCCCTGACGGGAACAGGGTGCAAACATACAGTTTATATGTATATAAATTAATAATTGCTAACACTTATATAGCGCTTTTCTGGACACACCACTCAAAGCGCTTGACAGATAATGGGGATCCCCTCCACCACCCCCAGTCTGCAGCCCCACCTGGGTGATCCGACGGCAGCCGTAGTGCACAGAGTATGGCAGAGTAATGAAGCCAATCCATAGATCCAATTCATATAATAAAAAAATGATTATAAATCCTGTTGTGTTCTGTACATCCACAGAGACCTGTGCACAGCATTTGGCAAGGATGTCATGAAGTTAGTAGAAGTGAGGCCTGTAATTAACGAACTGCTAACTGAAGGAAGAAGATCAAAGACAAGCAAAACGAAGACCCTTGCCACATGGGCCACTAAAGAGCTGCGGAAGCTAAAGAACCAGGCTTGGTAAGTGCTGCCATCTCGGAGCTGGGGGTGTTTTTAAAATTTAGTGTGATTGTTTCTCTTTTTATACTACAGGAAAGCGCTTCATCAGTTCTGTCCCATACTAAACAGTTTGATAGAATGAAGTAGTTCTGCGTGTCCTCACATAAATGTAAACAAATACTCCTAAGGCTGCTGTTCTTGATCTGGACCCTACAGCAGGACTGAAGTTTGTGAAGCTGTCCTTATGGCTCAGACGTTGCCCTGTATTCTGTCTTTCAATAGCTGGATCTGTGGTACTCCTTTAGAACTGCAGTCTTTCCATCTATAACGCTTAAATTTGTCTTTTCCTTCAGATTTCATGCCATTGGGAAAACATCTTGAGAAAACCCCACTGGAATTCTTCGATCTTTTGAAAAATAAATCTAAGCAGAAGTGAGGAGTGTGCTCGGATGAGTGTTTGGGAATGTGAGAATGAGTGAGTGAGGCTTGATATCACACCACCTTCTGAATACTATTCCAGCAGCAGCAGCCGCCGCCGCCTCCGCCTCCGCAGCGTCCACTCACTGAAGGCGGAACCGACTAGAAAACGACAACTGGACGGCTGTAGCCAGCTCGTTCACGAACTAAAGGGTATCTTTCTCCAAAAAGGATCACCAGGCTAGGAAGAAACCGCCAAACCTGGAGTTTGTTTTTTTTAAACGTTAATAAAAGGACTGAACTCTTTCTTTGGCTGGTCTGTGGATAATATTGAAGTACTTGAAGAATGACGGAGATCCAGGAATAGAAGAATGCATCAAACTGCATGGAAAGAGTTCTGAAATGGGTTTTGCTGCTGGAGTTGAAGAAAGCTTAAATGAAATGGAAGAAAACAATTGGACTCCCTTGCCCGTCTCCCTTAACCTTTCTCTAGACCATTGCTCTGTTTGTGCATGGGATTCCTGTGAGCGGGTTTGAAAGGGCAAGCTCCAGTTTAGCGTGCGTGTGTGTGAGTGAGGAGGTATCCACTTTCTTCACTTTCAAATATTAAATAGAAACAAAACTCATTGCAAATAAGTGAACGCATTTCTGAAACTATAAAAAGTCGATAATGGCAGCACATGAAAAATTGAGAAGATGTTGCTTTTTCTGTAGAAAAATCACTGACGAATGTTCAGACCTTCCTTTTAAGGTTTAAAGGGGTTTGTGGGATCTCGTTTTAAGGTGAGGCCTAATAAAAATAAACCCTTTCTGCCTGTCTCAGTTCCAGACTGTGAAATTACAATGTAAAGTCTAATGATGCACCAAGTTTTAAAGGAGAGAAAGCATTAGCAGCTGAACTTAAAAAAAAAAACTTTAATTTGGCAGGTAACACTTTGGAAACAGCCCCACTTGAATACATCAATCCAAACAATAGTAGTGTGCCAAAGAATTTATATTGAAACAAAGCAAATCAGGTAATATTTTGGATTGTTGTAATGAAAAAAATTAGTCAAAGGAGTTTGAGTAGACCTGTAAGAGCAAAATTGCCACTTGGAAACTGCTTTGGCCTTTTCTGCGCTTTTATTAAAATGGTTCCATTGTGATATTGGTTTCTTGCTGCACTTAGTTTAAAAGTCTACAAGCTTGTTAAAAGAAACAGAGGCACTTGTAAAAGGTTCTATTTTTCCACTGCAATGAAAAAGAATAAAATGGTATCAAACATTCCCCTAGCACTTTTTTGTACTTTGGTCTTTAAAAACCTTTTTTTTTTATGAGAGATTTGTGGTTTAAGAAGGCTGTGGGGCTGCTGGGGAGGAGAGGGGTGTTCTGGAGTCGGCGAAATGTTTGTCTCTTTCAGACTGGTAACTAGGTTCTATTTGAAGGGGAGAATGTTTTTATCCTCATTAAACCGGATACTTTTCAGCAATATATTTGTGGCATTTTTTTATAATTGGTGTTAAATGCCTGATATCTAATGCACAAACACTGAAATGTCAAAGATGCTGATCCTTTTCCCTTCTGTTATTGTATTTGAAATTTTTATATATTTGGTGGTGATTGCTATGTTTACATACTCACCATAACCACACTTATGCAACGAGACAGTCCTGAGGGAAGAGAGGAAGAAGTGTGACTGTCTCAGTATGATCTTGTAACCAGTGGCAGGAATTTTAACTGGGTTTTAATGAGCCCTGTTTTGCATTTTGCAGGTCTTTGATCCTAACAGATAAGTCTGTATTTTTACATGACTTGAACTCCATGCATTGCAGTTTAGATACTTCTATGAACCTTCATATTTCATATTCCTTTTGTGCATTTTTTGTGCAAAATGTTTGTGCTGGTTTTTACATATCAAATGCAGTAAATGTAATATAGAAATATTTTTAGTGGCATGGTAAAAGGTCTGTTTTAAGATCTGAAGGGGACAAGTCCCGCTGTAAGTCTCCTGTTAAACTGATCAGGTGCTTCTCTTGTAGACAGGTTACATGTCCGGGAGGATTGGGTGGCATTTCTTACCTGTTACCAGTCTCAAGCAGGCAGTTCATGATCCTCGACTCTTCTGCCTGCCCCTTGTTGTTCGTACAGGGTATCGAACATGTGCCTTCCAGAGCTGGGCTGTCAGTATGCATGATGTGGGGTCTCAACCCACTGCCGAGAGGGAAGCACTGGTGTGTTAGCACGCTGGCATGATAGGGGTTTTCCAGCTCCCTGAATTTGATTGCTCAAGGTTTTTTTTTTTAATTGCTATTATTGCCTTTGTGGTTATTTTGTACTTATTGGGGACAATTGGAAAAATACTGTTCTGCAAATGGGGAATTCTGACCATTCCTCAGTGCTACCTGTTTCTGTCCTGTGTGTGCTTTCAGCTTTAGAGAACAGGAGAATAAAGTACACTGAGATACTGACTACCTTGTCTGTCTACTTATTTCCAAACTCTGCTGGGTGACCTGGGGTCTAAGTGGTTTCTCCATGAATCTACACTAGCAGTAGGAGGCCACACTAGTTTTAGTCAGTATTTGAGCCAGCAGCCATATCACCCTGCAAATCACAGCAGGCAGCCCACTGGAGCTCGGCAGGTGTGAGCCTGGTCAGTACCTGGATGCAAGACTCTTGGGAAAATAAGGTGCCTGCTGTAAGAGGTGTTACTGGGGCCAGCAGGGGGCACTCATCCTGCGGTCTGTGTGGGTCCTAATGCCCTGGTGATGGGGACTAAAACTACACCGTCCCTCGGATGAGACATACAACTGAGGTCCTGACTCTTGGTGATTATTAAAAATCCCAAGACATTTCTCGAAAAGAGTAGGGGTGTTATCCTACTGTCTTGGCCAAATTTCCCCTAGGCCTTTACCCATCATGGCCTCCTAATAGTCCCCATCTCTGAATTGCCTTCATCACTCTGCTCTCCTCCCCACTGGGAGCTGGTATGTGGGGAGCGTACTGGTGTATCATCCAGGTGGGGCTGCAAACTGATCAGATACAAATACCTGATGTTTTTTTTTTTTCAGTTCTGGCGGCAAAATACATTTCCATTGATTACAGAAAGTACAAAAGAGACCAGGTAATTTGTTTTCTTTTTTTTTATTTAAACACCAGATATATAAAAAGGAGACAATATTAAAACAGGTACAGAAATAGACACACTTCATAGCCAGAGGAATTCACAATTAAAATATGTATTATTATTTCTAATAAAATTTCAATAAAAAGGGAATTCTACCTTAAAAGCATTAAAAGAGAGAGTAGTATTAGACCATTTACTTTTGTGGATGAAGTATTTTGCCAAAATAATTAACAAATTAATAATAAAAAAAATCCTTTATCCAATTCAGGTCTAACAAAATATAAAATATCAAAATCTTTCAAATCTTTAAATGTTTAACAATAACATTTTGCAAATCTATCCAAAATAATTTTGTATAAATGCAATTAAACAAATGTAACAATGATTCCTTCTCATTATTACAAAATACACATAAGTCATCTTGTTCATGTTTAAATCTAGAAAGTGTCAATTTAACAGGATAACATTTATGAACAATCTTTAATTAAATTTCTTTAACTTTATTTGTAAAATAGTATCTATCAACAATTCTCCAAACTAATTTCCAATATCTATTCCTAAACATAGTATTCCAAAAAGAGACATAAGAATGTATAAAATGTAAAAAATTGCACAAGTCCTAATATAATTATTATTGCAGTTCAGGGGGGTAGCTGCGTCAGTATGCGTAGGCTGCAAAGGAACAAGTAATAGGTTTATTCCATGCTGAAAAGAGAAGAAAGAAAGCCTTCTTCAGGTGTGAGAAAGAAATGGCAGACAGCGAAGATTAAATAGCATAGGAGAATGAAAGCTGAGAGAATGGAGGACGTCCTCCACTGGGAGCAGGGGGGGCAGAGAGGCCACTGCGAAGCGAAGGTGGTGCGAAGTGGAGAGGGGTAAAGAGAGGTGTGCAGTCAAAACCTGCATGTGAATAGAGAAGATAACATGAAAACAAGACAACAAGTTTTAATATTGTCTATAATGAAAACAAGACTGTCATTGAGAGAAAGGGGAAGGTGTGAACCAAGTTTCAGGATAATTTTTGGTTCTGATGTCTTACTACCATGGGAATTGAGAAACCCTTCTTTGAGAAAGCAGATGGAGAGATCAGTGTGATCATGGCTGTCTGAGGTGAGAAACTATGGGCTTGGAGAAATCTTTCATCCTCACAGCCCTGACAAGTTCTCTGAATTGGTCTCCTAGTCTCCTTCCAGTTTCCCCAATGTAGATCGCTGGGCATTTCCTGCAAGAGATATTGTAAATGAGGTTGCCGGAGGTCCAAGAGGTCGCCTTGGTGATCCGGAATTGTCCTGAGGGCCCGTAAATGAGTGTGGTGTTAGATATGTACTTGCAGGTGATACAGCGAGCTCTGTTGCAAGGGAAAGTGCCTGGTGTGGATGATCGCTGAGGGCGGTCAAGGGAGCTGTGATTAGGTGGTCGGCGATATGAGATGATGGGGAGGTCAGGAAAGAGCGCCCCAGTGGAGGGATCAGCCTGTAGGATGGAAAAATTGTCGTTAAGGGTCCTAGGGATAGAAAATGTGGACAGGTGGAAGGGAAGCACCAAAGAAATGCAATTATTAGGCCGGTTCCTGATCAAGTTGATGGTCTGGGGGCTGTTTTCAGCTCGGATGAGGGCCCTGACAATGACATGGGTGGGGTATCCTCTGTTGATGAAAAAGAAGTGCTGGAAATCCATGTCATCACTGCAGATTATTTTTTCTTTCATATCCACTCCATCCAAAAATAAATTATCAGAGAAATCAGAAGAAACTTATATATTAAATTCCAAAATCATAAAACTTGTTTATGAAAGTTAGATAATAGGGGAATTTAGATAATTTAAGGGGAATTCTATTAATATCAAAATTAAATTTTAACAAAGATCACCTATATTGAAAAACCTACTTAGGAATCAAATTCCATATATTATTTTTGTTTGTAGTATAATTTCTAATCCAATTAATTTTAAAGATAATATCTGAGGTATAAAAATGTAAGATATTCAATCCACCTTGATTCCTAGGTTGAATTAGATAACCTTATATAATGGGGTTTGTTTTTCCAAATGAAGTTATAAAGTGCTTTATCAAAATCATTAATAACATATATAGGGTTAGTGACATCCAATGAAGGAGAAGCATATACAAAGCGGGAAAGGGAAAAAAGAGACCAAGTTACAGAAAGGTGTCGGCATGCTGCATTACGTTAAGAGTATATCCGTCCATCTCGTACAATCACAGTCGCTGGCTCCCCAGTAATGCCCGCCCACCCTCTCCTGCTTGTCGCTAATCCCACAATTCCACAGCGCTGTCAAGATGGCTGCCTCCTTGAGTCGGGTGCTGTTGTCTCTTCGGCGCCCGTTGGGTGGGAATGTGCAAGTAGGTGCCTTTCACACAGCAGGCAGTCTGTCGTAAAACCTGTTCTAGAAACTATAAACTAACTAAAGTAATGTTTAGTTAGCCGATATGTAGGGAGTTAACGTTGTATTCCTCGGTTTATTAGACCGACCCGTTAAGAATCAGATTAAATTCAAGTTTTATTTGGAAGCAGGTTCCGACTATAGAGATGTTTTACTTGTTCTCGCCGAGGGGTACATTTTTACCAATTTGCTAAATCGAAAATGGGCGCTTTGGGGGTGCTGAGTGAATAGCAGAGCAGTTACGTGTGGTTCCCGGTGCTTCGCATGTGTATTATAAATGGTTTTACTCTTTTGACATCCCTGCATGTCTCTCAACACGTTAAGTTAAAAGGGTGATTAAAGACCTGTATTTTGGATGTCGCTGCACATACAGGCCGCTTTCGGGGTCGGAGACATCTCTTTACTTTGATGTGATATTGAGGTGATGTGATGACATTCAGGAAGGGCAGTCACCCACATTGCAGCCCTGTCTTCCAGTGCTTGATCAGTTGTTGAAAAAGCCAAGGACTTGGGTCTAGCTGTCCTCGAGTGAAGGGAACAGTAATTGTTTTAGAACACAGATGTTTTATCTTGCATGTTTCCTCCTCTTCAGTGTGCGGAGGCACTGTTGGACCCAGTCAAGCACTGTCACCTTCCGACTCTGATCACAGTGCGCAACAAGAAGCGCTACTTCATCCCTCCTGCCGTGGGAGTCAAGAAGAGGACGCAGGAGGAGCAGGCCCGAGCAGCAGGGCTGGTGGTCAGACAGGAGTACATAGAGAGGTCCATCAACATCGCCTGCACAGGTGGGGCAGACGTGGCCAGCAGGCTGCTCCCTCCAGCAAGTCTTGTTCTTCCTTGATGTTAAGAGCCTGTGAATGCTTACAAACAAGGACACCGTTTGAGCTCTCTTGCTCTTGTGGTTGTTAGCATCTATTGGATTGAAGTGCCTTGTCCAGCTTCCACAATGCAGCAACAGTTCTAAATGATTCCATGTTGGACTGAGCCATATGCCGTACTAACATTTTAATGGATTGTATGAAAAATTTTCTTCTTCTAAATGGTTATGAATCAAACGCAGGTACTAAATCAGATTAATAATGGCTATTTCTCTGAAATTTGAGTCAGCCAGTTTTGGTTAAACATTTAACAGACTTTAGACTTAGTGGAATAAGAAAAGCTTTGACTCTGAAAATGTGTCTGTAACGCTAGAATAACACTAGAAACAGCCCTGTAAATCTGTTCACATCAGCTGTTTGTTCTTACTCAAGAAGTTCACATAATGTGCTCTGGAGCTTTAAGCCACAGCAGAGGATATTGCTGGCTGTTTCATAACCTTATGGATGTACTGTAACATGGCTGTCTCCCTCTCTTTCTAGCGGGGATATTTGACCCTTACATCCCTCCTGAGGGAGACGCTCGGCTGTCCTCTCTGTCCAGAGAGGGTTTGAAGCAGAGGACAGAACAGATCAAGCAGACCGCTGCCTCCCAGCTGGCGTGAGATTGATTTCTCCTCCATAGTCTCTGTCTCCTGCATTCTCCCATTACAGCTCCTAACAGATCGTGCTGAATAACATGGGATGTATTCATATTAGTACTTAAACATCAGACTGATAAATGTCCAAAAGGTTTATATTTTTAATACATTTAAAAAGCTTGTAAATATAAATAAAGTTACCTACAGGTAACTGTATTTTTAACCTCCTGAGAAGGAATGCAGCATTGATTGCTCAGCATTGAATCATGGGTCAGAATGTCATTTTTGTTCTTATTATAGTAAAGTAGCTCCTTGTAAGATCTCTTACTACAAGAAAAAAGGCTGTTTTATGGTTATTCACTTGGTTATTTAAGTCTGAAGTCTTTATTTTTATTTTTATTTTCCTAAAGGATCCGTAAAGTCAAGGAACATGATCCCGATTTCAAGACAAAGGATTTCCCAGCTAGAGCCCAAGAGATATTTATTGAAGCTCATGCCAGTCTTGTGAAGTAAGATCTCCTTTCTCCTCTTAGGCCTGCTGCTTGTACTAACTACAGCCAAGTTTAGAATTCTCCTCCAGACTAAGTCCAGATTAGAAACAGCTGATCCTTCTTCAACAGATGAGATGTTGTACATTTTCCTCTTCCCAGTGTGGTAATAGCACTGCTTGTTCCTTTGTGGCTTGCTCTCTGACACTCAATGTAAGTACAGATTAGTTCGGACAGTATTGAGGTTGGCACTACTATCTTAAAGCTCAACAGTCTATGATTTGAGCACTCATATCAAGTTTGAATGTTCTCCTGTGTTCAAGTGGGTTTTCATCAGGTGCTCCAGTCTGTATAGACGCGTATATCTTTCCTGGGGATTTAAAGGGGATTCTGTATGTATTGGGAATGTTTCCCTCAACTAATACTATGTAAGGGATTAGAGACAAACTTAATGACCATGGTGGGCTGAATGACCTATCATTTGTGGCTTTTCTGATGTTCATCAGAACAAATCCAATATACTCAAAACAGTAATAATAAAGAGAAATAAGAAAAAAAACTTAATAACAGATTTCTGAGAAGCTGCTGGTTTTTGCTATTGTGAAGCAGCACTTGTAAATCTTTTACTGTATTTTGTGGGAGATATAGAGATACGGGCTCCCCACTGCCTCCCCACTGTCCCCCAGCTCCCTAATCTGCTGTACTGCTGAACAGGTTATGTGAAAATCACAGTGAAGGAAAGACACACCAGAATACAATGCTGGATACAAAAACCCTGTAGGGTGCAACAGTGTGTGAGGTGTTACTCTGGAAGGTTGGAGCTCTTAGGACAGAGTCTGCAGTCAAGGGGCATTAGAACAGGATTGATAGGCCTTGTCTGGTTAAAGAATGCAGCTTTGGGCTGATGTCAGTTTCCTTCTTTCATTTAGTTTCAACAAGGAGAAGCTTCACAGCTTGGTCACAGAACGCTGCTACCCTGTGAGTTTTCTGCTTTCCTTCTGCACGATTTTAGTGAATATTACTAGACCCTTTACTGTACCATTGTTTTTCTTCTTGAAAGACCTGAGTGACTAAGATTTCTTTCTTACACTAGCAGTGATAGTACAAGAATAATTGGAATGAACTAGTGATATATTTATAGTTTTTCTAGGCATTGTGTGGTATTAACATTTACAATGGTGCATTCTTCTATATACCTGTGTTAAATGTCAGTAAAAAGCTAATTTTACCCTCTGATGTGAGTATTGGGACTTGTTTGTACAGCTTTCGTGCACACATAGAGTCACAGGAAAGACATCTTACACTGACAATTTGTTGATTTTAGCTAAAAAGTAGCGTTAAAGTGATAGTCTGTGTATTCCTAATGTGAAGATAGAACACCTGCATGGTCTTGGTCTCAGAGTATGTGGGGGTTATTGTGCCTAGTATGTGCTAAGAACAGGGTGCTGTGCTGTGCCCCATGGCAAGAAGACCATGACACTGAGGCTGGCGTTGTGATCTCCGTTGTCTCTGCAGGAGATGGTTCGAGGCAATCGCTACAAAACGCTGCGGTGGAGTTTTGTAGAGTCCTTGGAGCCACCCAGAGTGGTGCATGTGCGCTGTCCACATATGGTCAGTAAGGGCAACCTGTACGGCCAGGTGACGCTACGGATGCACTCCAGGCAGGTGGGTGGTAATAATAATAATAATTGCTTACACTTATATAGCTCTTTTCTGGACACTCCACTCAAAGCGCTTTAAGAGGTAATGGGGATCCCCTCCACCACCACCAGTGTGCAGCCCCACCTGGATGATGTGACGGCAGCCATAGTGCGCCAGAACGCTCACCACAAACCAGCTATCAGTGGGGAGGAGAGCAGAGTAATGATTATTAGCCATGATTGGTAAGGGCCAATGGGAAATTTGGGCAGGACGTTACACCCCTACTCTTTTTGAGAGACGCTCTGGGATTTTTAATGACCACAGAGAGTCAGGACCTTGGTTTTACGTCTCATCCAAAGGACGGCGCCTGTTTACAGTATAGTGTCCCCATCACTATACTGGGGCATTAGGACTCACATGGACAGCAGGGTGAGCACCCCCTACTGGCCCCACTAACATCTCTTCCAGCAGCAACCTTAGTTTTTCCCAGCCAGGTATTGACCAGGCTCACACCTGCTTAGCTTCAGTGGGCTGCCAGCTGTGAGTTGCAGGGTGATATGGCTGCTGGCTATAACTCTAACACGGTAACTCTGCGTGTTGTAGTGCAGAGCTCCAGTTTCAGTCTGGGAGTCAAAGTCTTTGCTGTTTTACTGCGAAGTCAGCAGCCCGTTCGCTCTGGAGCAGGGGTCTAATCCCGCTTCTGGAGGGTTGCAGTGTTCTACTTTTCAGTATAACCTAGATCTTCATTTCTGAAACAGTTATTTACTTATTTAGTTGAAATTAGTCATGTTTAACAATTAACTGAAGACATTTATAAAACAAAGGAACGTGGACTTCAGAAAATGGTACTTCCTCTCTCCCCACAAAGGGACAACATTTTACACTTTTTTTTGTCTTTTTACTTTTTGTGCAACCTGCAGAAACTCATTAATTTGATTGCTGTATTTGTGATGCAGGGAGATTACTTAACTGAGCTTTGGACAGTATGGAGTCAATGTAATTGTTGCATTTTGAGCACTTCAAGCCCTTTTCTTCCTTTTCTTACTGTTTCTCCTTCCCTCTTCCCCGTCGATTCCTCACTCTGCATTAGACGCTGGCTATCTATGACCGTTTTGGGCGCTTGATGCTGGGCAGCGAGACAGATCCGCGTGATGTGCTCGAGTACCTGGTTTTTGAGCGCCACCTGGTTAATCCTTACAGCCGCTGGCGGATGCACGGCAAGATTGTCCCCGCCTGGGCGCCACCTAAAGAGCCCATTGTGAAGGTAACCTGCTGCCCGCCTCCAGAACCCACAGCACTGTGCAGCACCATGCCATTCATACTCTGTTTTCTGTGTCGACGCTCAATCTCCAAAGTTCCCCTGCTCTCTTACAGAACATCTGTTTTCTGGTAATATTGTTGTTTTCGCTTCCTCTGATTTCTTGGAGAGGTCATTAGCACTCAAAATGATCTGGTTCCTATGACCGACTGTTCATATAGGGAGAGTGGGAAACTGTGGGGGCTGTTTTTTCCAGTGTTGCTCCTCTCATGCTACTGCATTTTAGTGTACTGTTGGAAATTCTTATAAAAAAAAACTTTAATACTGTTGCATGGTTTAGGTTTTGGGTCACACAGTTCTGATAAGATGCTCTACAGCTTTTCTTGCAGTCTGACTAATTTGGTTTTCAGCAAGACTGGTTGACTGTGTGTCACTGGTTTATTTTGTTTTTCAGACCGTTATAATTCCAGGCCCTGAGCTGAAGCCTTGGCAGGAGTTTGAAGAGATGCATTATGAAGTCCCCAAGCCCAAACAAGTCCAGTGGCACAAATAGCTCTCACACACAACTCTGTTTAAACAATGCACACCCTCAAAAGGGGTACGTAAGTCTCAGGACCTTACATCAAGTAAGTGTTCTGGATACAGAGACTGGATTAAAAGAGGCATCACAAATACTGTCTGTTTCTTTACATGCCTGTGTGGTCTTCATGCCTCGTGACTTGAAGCTCCCTCTAGTAAACAATGTACAGGACAAACCATGTTTTTGTTATGATTGTGTGTCCATTGGTAAAATAAATACTCTTATTGCCTAGAAATTTAGAGTACATTTACTTGTTACACTTGGAAGAATTTTTACATTTTTATTAATTTTTTTACAAATATACCCCAATTCTTTTACAGTATGAAACCAGACATACAGTATAAGAGGAGCTGGAGCACAGTACAGGATAGATGGGAAGCTGTGTGCACAAAGGAGGTGTCATTCTCTCTGTGGTCAAGCACGCTGTCAGTGCTGCGCCCACAAGCTTGGTAGTGAGGATAAACAATTTCAGAAGAAGTAATGCGAGAAAAGACCTTTCCTACTCACACCTGCCTTTTCTGGCTGGAGACTGACAGTATGATTGAGATGGTTTAGGTTATCTGAATTGCATGCAAGTACTAAAATGATTTGATGCCACACCACAGAGTCGTTAAACAAAAAAACGCCAGTTACATCCAGAAACCTCACAAAAACAATCATGTTAATGAACGAGGAGATGGTTACGCTTCTACAGGCCATGAAGGGTTTTTTGTGAGTGTTTCTGCACTCCCCTGGCCATCTGCTTTATTATGGTCACTTCCAGCCTTACACTTGGTCGGACAGCTTCACAGTAATGAGAACTTAAAACACAAGGGCCGATGTCACAATGCTTGTTGGACTCTTATCTGAGGAGTTACTATATAAATGCCTTGGAGATACACGAGAGCTAGCCTTTGACTGATGTGTCTACCCTGACCTACAGGAGGCACTGTACTGTAAAGGCTCATGTATTCACCCTGTATTCAGCATGTATCCCTTCGGGAAGAATCTTGGCTCAGTATACTGGAACCATGATGTATATTGGTGGATAGAGCACATTTCTACCTGCACCTGCTTAGAAAACAGGCTTTCTTAACTTCACTTCATTGCTTGCTCACAAAGGCAGCCCTGTTGTAGTGTTTATGAATATCCAATACAATTGCAATTGCATACGATAATTTTGCATTATATTGTTTGACTTTAGTCCATGTGCTGACATTCTTTTATTAAATATCTGGTGGTGTTTGTTAATGCACTGTAATAAGGAGAAAGTTACATTGCTAATAGTGAAAGTTACAATGGAGTCATGTGATTGAGTTCTTCACATGAGGCCATCTGGCTAGTTATCACCCTACTATGGCCTATCGGAGTCACCCAAGCGCAGTACCGGCTGGGTAGGACAGTTGCTGTAAGTTCCAAGATAGTCCCATCCACAGTCGTAGTGAGAGGTGCTATGGTTGCTTTAATGAATGGAAAGAATTTGGTCACAGTCGTCCATGAGTATGTACACCATTTCTCTGGAGTCTATTAGCTTTCCACCTTAGAGCCTTGCAGTCAGAAATGCATAATTACATTATTACAGAAAACCATGTTTAATGGGCATTTCTAATGTCTAAGCTAGATATAAAAATGAAAAACATTCAGAATAAGAGCAGAACTGTGGCAAGCACAGTTCTGTGGAATGCTTCTGGTTGAGAACGTAAACATTATAAGACTTGACAATACTGATCTGGTGTCCGAGCAGATCTCTGTCCGATGAAATCAGGCGGCAGCTTCTGTCTTTCACGGCGCAGATTCCTGCAACAGTTTCTTACGCAGGACTGTCAGGAATTTATTTTCTTACAGGCCTGCCTTTCACTGCTAACCCCATAGATTCTTCTTCCTCAAGCAGAGCTCTATTAGCTCCTGATGTGTCATTAGGAACATTTTAATACACTTATCTAGTTTGTTACTTTTTGGTGCATTTAGTTGGGGAAAAAGGTGTATTTCTGATATTCTGTCTCAATCAGAACATAAAGCTATATCTCCCAAAGTTATTGGAAGCTGGGGCTTCATTCAGCTTCTATAGCAGCAGGCAGAGGAATGTGACAAAAAAAAAGATTGGCAGTGGAGGTAAGGACACTTTAATACATACAGAAGCGCACTGCAGCAATGTGCTTCCTTAGATTCAAATTATCACATTAAAAGCTTCTCAGTTGTTGCCTTATTTTTCATAAATTAATTTGCCCTTTTTATATGGCTCAGTGATCTTGTCTTTTTAAGACATTTGTTAGATTACACTGATGGAATAATATACTCTAATTAATATCCTAAATGTTAATCCTTGCCTTGGTAAATATTGCTGCATTTGTTACTATTCTTAACTGCATTCTTTTTACCATGTTTTCCTCTACAGGTAATATGAGAAATAGTGCTTGACTATATTACTGCTGAAAGTTTTTACAGTAGGGTATGATATTACTGTACATATGTCTGAAGGCAGACTGAAATAAGAGAGAACATCCAGACCTTTAGAAGAGTTAGCTGTGATGAGAATCCATGTGTTCAGAATAGACAGAATCTCTTTTTTTCCATCTGAGGGGGGAGAAACAGAAGCACCCTAGTGGGCAGTGACAATAGATCCAGTCTGCAGTCCATTGGTATTGCATATAGAGCAGAACCCGGGTTGTTTGTTCCACAAATTAAGTGCATTTCATATGAATCCAGAGCTCTGTTCAAACTTATTACTATCTAGACCCAGGCCTGGCAGGCAAGGTTAATTTTTACTCCAGTTCCCTCGGACTGACATCAGCCTTTTTCGGTGTAACGGGATCTGTGTCTGTAGGCTCATCTGTCTCTGACGTCCCAGATCCACATGGGCAGTCTTCAGCAGCTCTTTCCACATGGCCAGTCTGTTCCTCAGGAGTGTCCATGGCCTCACTAGGCAGAATGTCTGATATGTCGTCATCCTGGGGCAGCCTCATCTCCCAGGGACACAGCGCATCTCTGCGGCACAGAGCCAAGTCTGTCTCTCTGGACCTGCCAGGGGCCTTGCCATTGGACTGAGGTTTCCGGACATCTTCACATTTGCTGCCTTGCCTGGCCGGCACAGGGAGTTCCTTTTGTTTGACAGCCCCAGTGCTTTTATTTCTGTCTTCTGCCATTTCCTCTGGTTCCTCCACATCCAGGGAAGACACATCCTCTACAATGCTTTTTAGTGCCACTGCTGTTTTCTCACACTGTTTTTTGGTGTTGGTCACTGGTTCAGGAATGTCTAACGGACAGACCTTGGAAGTCTTGTTGCTGTCAAGATTTGTCCTTGCTTCCTCGATCTCCCAAGGACAAACCTCTGACAATGAACTCTTTGTACTGCTTCCTGGGCCCTCGGCTCTCTCCCACACTCTATTAGAGGCTTTGAGGTTTACCTGGCTCTGGAGTGCTGGCTTCTCATCTTGCACATCCCATGGACAGATGTCAGCCCATGTGCTCTCTTGACCCTTGCTCATCAGTGCTGGTACATGCTGTCCAGCCAGATTCCTCAATTCTGAAACTTCTCTCTCTTGATTTTGAAGACTTGGTTTCTCTTCCTCAGTCTCCCAGGGACAGACTTCTGCCAGTTTGCTCTTGTGTCTCATTGTTGTCATGCTGGCAGGCTCAACTCGCTCCCAGGGACACACAACTTCTGACAATTTGATAGCCTCTTGCTTAACCACAAAGGATTTGTTTTCATCAACATCCCATGGGCAAACATCTTTCACTGAACTCTCCTGCCTTTCAAATTGGCTTTTGTTCTTGACACCAGTTTCCTGCTTATTCAGATTGGAAGGGTCTGCACTGGTATCTTGTGTGCAGACCTCTGCGTTTGTGGTACCATGGCTGCTTGTTCCAGGCTCTTCAGACTCCCAAGAGCACACTGCGTCCTGGGATTCACCTGGTTTTCCTATCATATTCTGGACTCCAGCTTCAGTGTCACTGGGAGAGACTTTGTGCACTGGGGCAGCTGGCCTGGCAGTTTGAGTGTCTCCTGGGTGTGCAATTACTGTTTTGCTGTTTGTCTGCAGTCGTCCCTCAGACTCCCCACCAGGTGGAGTCCTTTGCCTACATTTATTAGCCTGAGGATCAGTTTTGGGAGCTGCAGGGGAATCAGCTCCTTTTTCCTTGCTCTTCCCAGCCTCCTCCTTTTTCTCCTTTTTCTTTTCTGTGCTTTTCTTTGCCTTCGCCTTTAAGCTTCCTTTCCCTGGCCCCACCAGGCCTTTCATGGAAAGTCCAAACCCTCTGGGAGGTCCCCTGTAGGAAAAGCCCCTGGATTCCTTGTTCCTTCCCTGGCTAGTAACAGGAGAGCCTGGGGCGCTGGACGAAATCGGGGCCCTGGCTTTCACATCATCCATTTCGAAATCCCAAGGACAGATCTCTCCAGTTGTGTGACCTTCTTTGACACCCTCTAGATTCTCTTTCTTCTGGCTTTTGCTTGAGAAGCCCTCACCCTCCCTGGCACAGACATCTCCAGTGGACTGAGGCTGAAAGGAGTCCCAGGGGCAGATCTCGTTCTTATCTACTGTGCTTCGCTGCCTGCCTGTTTCTCCGTTGGTATCGTTCTTTGAAAGAGCATAGGTGACGTGCTTCTGGGTTTTGCCCTCAGGATGCTGGTCTTCTACCTCCCAGGGGCAGACCTCTGCCTTGTCAAACTTCTCCTTGAGGAGAGCATTAACTGTCCTTGGCAGAATCTCTTCTGACCGTAGCAACTGCGACGTCTCCAGTGCTGAGCCTGAGTCGGAAAGACTCCTTCCCTGTGTGTTGCTACCCTCCAGGTCCTGTGAGGTGTCCTCCAGGCTGCAGGTCTTGCTAGGCAGGAGGTGGGTCCTGTCTCTGCTGCCTGTGATGACACTCAGGGACTTCTGCAGCTTGGTAGGCTTTGGCTGGAGCAGCTTTTTATCTGCTGTCAAGTTGTGAGCGCTGGCAGACTTGCAAACAAGAGGAGCAGCATCCACAGACTCGGAGTCAGAGCGCTCAGAAGCCTTCTTGGCCAGCTTCTTCCTCATGAGAGAGTCTAGCAGTGAGGGGTCCTTGGTGTCGACGGAGCGTGGGTGGTGGTCCCTGTGGTCCCGGACGTGGTCATAGGTGCTGTGGGACTTGCGCAGGGAGAACACGCGGTGCTTGATGGAGTCCTCCTTCACCTTCATGCTGGAGCTGCTCGACTCAAAGGCCTTCTTCTTGCAGGACCCTGGGTGGCTGCCCCCACCTCCGCCCCACGAGCCCTCCTTGTCCTCGCGGCTGCACTGCCGACTCATGGACTCCGGGATCTCGGTGATGCGCTTCATGATGGAGCGTCCCAGACCCCTGCGGGAGCTACGCTTCTTCTGCAGGTGGGGGTTATTTGCCGTCATCTTTTTGGTCTTATGGACTTCCAGCTGGGCATACAGCTTCTTCAGCTCATCCTGCAGGAGAATCAGAAATCACACAGCCATCAGTCTGCTGTCTGGAGTATCGACAGTATCAGAGCTCTTCCTTACTACTTATTTTAAAGGAATGTTTGATAATAATAAGTGCTTATTCTGAACCCCCATCAGATAGCCTTGGGACAACCTTGTTTTGAAAGGTGCTATATCAAATTAAATTGAATTGAAATAATGTTGGACCTCTGCAAGTAGCAGGGAGACCTTAAACAGGCTGTGGCTTGTGTTTCCCAAAGATCTGATGTATTTACAGTCTTGTTCCATCTCATACATTTCCTAGAATCAGCTGAAGTGTGAAGAAGGAAACAGTGTGTGGACTGGACAGACTGAACCAGTTTTCAAAAGACTAAGATCTAGAGATTGTTCTGGCCAGGGAAGGTGATGGAAATAAGTCTAATGCTCTTCAAGTCAACCATGCATTGTCCAGTGGTCAGATGGACTTCAGGGATTGTATATAAAAAAATTACATACACAGTATATGTACTCTATAGTAGTTCAGATGGATAGCTGTGTCAGCATGCGTAGTCTGCAAAGGAACAAGTAATAGGTTTATTCCATGCTGAAAAGAGAAGAGAGAAAACACAATGTTTTGGCCGTGAAGCCGAAGAACTTTTTCTCTTCTTTTTTCAGCATGGAATAAACCTATTACTTGTTCCTTTATATACTCTATATACAGTCTGTACAATATATGTAATCAAACAAGCTATATGAACCAAATGGTTCTGTAACATTGAGTTTGAAAGAAAGTATATGTAATAAGTATTTGATAAAAAAAGAAATCCAATGTATATTTTACATGAAGAGGTGGAGATGATTGTGATTGCTGAGTTTAGGTAAGATGTCTGCATCCCTTGTATATAGATAGCCTCAGTCCTTTAGGATTTATATGTTCCTTAAATAATCATTGAGTAACAGGTAAGCCTGAGAAGCAGGTTAACATTCACTATACACGTAATTCAGTGATGTGATTCAGAGCTCAGCTGCAATGAAACCCAGGTGTCACTGTGGCTCCCTGTGCGCAGGTTAGCAGACACCTGGCCTGCCATCCTGCTAGAGCAGCAGAAGGAAGTGTTACCCGGATGTCGTCTGGGTCCAGGCTGTGCTCACTCCAGGCGGACGTGATGCTGCTGTTCAAGTAGGAGCCGGAGCGCCGCAGGTCCAGCTCATCCTCATACACTTCCGCTGCGATCTCTTCCCTCAGCGGCCGCCTTGCATGCAGGAACTGGCCCACACAGAGAAACACGCAGGCTTGTGCATTACACCAATACTTCATGGTACTGATTTTTTCATTAGAATAAGAGCTCCAAGACTTGTTCTAAGATTTTTGTGAAGCATGAAGTAAGCATATATAAAGATTTTATGAGACACGTAACCTCAATTTTGCAGAGGTACTAATGGGCATTAGAAAAGTGCAGCAGTAGATAGGATAGCAGGCGTTCAGTGGAGCAGAGAGGACAGGTGGCGGACAGACCCTTACCTTTGGGATGAAGAGCAGACCCAGAGTGACAGTGATGGTGACGTGAGTGTGTGTAAAAAACAGCAGCAGCGTCCAGTCGGGGTGCAACGAGGGCATTATGAACCTGCATGGAGGAGAGACCTCCTGTCACTCATCACAATGAAATCAGCAACAACACCGAAGCCTTGGGGTCCCACATGACCGAAAACCATTACAGGAGAGCAGAAATTACTGCTCTCATTGTCAGGACAGTATGGTTACCCTGCGCCTGTGGAGACTTGGAATGAAAGTATAAAACATTAACAGGAATTTGCCTCAGCTACAAGGCTGCCTCAGCCATCGTAAGTTCTGTTATTTCAATTAAAATCATTTTCACTGTTAAGTGAAAATGAATTGAGGTTGTGTCTGGAACCGTTTGTATTAACAAGCAAAAATTGAATTTTTGCTCTTTTAGTATTTGTCTAGAAGGCTTTCTGAGGTCAGAAAGCCCATTACTTTGCCAGCAGTCATATCATCCTGAAACTCACAACTGGCAGCCCAGTGAAGCTAAGCAATACCTGGATGGGAGACCCCTGGGAAAGCTGAGGCTGCTGCTGGAAGAGCTGTTAGTGAGGCCAGCAGGGGGCGCTCACCCTGTGGTCTGTGCCTAATGCCCCAGTATAGTGACAGGGAAACTATACTGTTAAATGGCGCTGTCCTTCGGATGAGACAAAAATCAGGGGTCCTGACTCTCTGTTGTCATTAAAATCCCAAGGTGTTTCTCGAAAAGAGTAGGGGTGTTACCCCTGGTGTCCTGGACAAATTTCCCCCTGGCCTTTACCCATCATGGCCTCCTAATAATCCCCATCTCTGAACTGGCTTCATTACTATGTTCTCCTCCCCACTGAGAGCTGGTGCATCATCCAGGTGGGGCTGCACACTGGTAGTGGTGAAGGGGATCACCATTACCTGTACAACGCTTCGAGTGGAGTGTCCAGGAAAGAGCTATATAAGTGTGAGCAATTATTATTAAGTCTTGTATGGTCACTTTACACCCCTCCCCCCTCCAGCCATGGCCGCAGCAGGGTGTTACCGGAGCAGGTGGAAAGCAGCAGACAGCAGCATCTCATTGTGAATGGCGATGCCCATGTAGCGAGGCTCGTGGAAGGCCGAGGGCACTGTGTGCACTGCGTAACACAAGAAACTGCCCCAGCAGAGGAACAGCAGCTCCGCTGGGAGAGAGGAAGAGGCAAAGGCAGGTCGTTACAGTTGCGAACTGCATTCCTGAATACTGCTTACAGTGACAAAGAGAAAGAGAAGGAGAGAGAGAGGAGTTGCCTTCTCTTAAATAAAAGCCTCACACCCACACTCACACGCACATTCAGTGAGAGACTGAGTCTGACAGAGCCGCATCTTTGACATTGAATTAAGAAGAGAAGGAAAGACGTAAGCCATTGTACCCAAATGCCAGCAATTCTTGCTCTCCTCACGGACTCCTGGCTTCACTCACCCACAGCCATCATGTAGTCCCAGCGGTCGAGGTCACACACACTGAAGCTCAGCCCCTCCTGGGTCCGCGAGTTCACCAGCATGGGCACATTGCGGTCCATGTTCTGCAGAGCGCTGGCTGTCCAGGCGGCCAGGAACCAGGTAACTGGTAACACAATGACTCCCAGCATCCTCAGCACACGCACACTGGTCATGTAGGGGACGCGTTGAGCAGTGCGCGACAGGAACACCTTGAGAACCCTGCTGACACACAGACTGTCACACAAGTACAACCCTTCTCTGCTTCCTACATCAGACAACAGGGGAAGGGTGTGATCAGCTGATCACAGACAGGCAAACCAGTACTAACAGAGCACTGACACCCAGCACTGCTGTGCCTAGTCAAGGATATGAAGCAGAGGCCTTATCATTCAGTTGATTCAATCAATCAACAGACAGAGGTCATGACAGCAGTGTGCGCTTTATGAAAACAGTTTTGAAACATTGGAAAGAAGATATATTCGTTCACTACAAATGATCCTGAAGTCGCCAATATGGTGAGCACATTTGATGGCAATAGTCTAGCAGGATCTAACATGCTGAATAAACATTCTTCAGTCTAGGAGCAACAGGATAAATGAACAGTCCACCAGACTTGGCCACCTCATATTTGGGATAGAATAAGGCCAGAGTCTAGGAAATGCTGGAAGCTGGAGATGTAGAAGGAGATTGCAAGTAATCAGGAGCTCATCCAGTCAAGCGCTTAAAAGCAACAATATTTTAAAATTCACTGCGTATTCCAAATGACACCAATGCAGGAGTTACATTGCTTGTAATCTTTAGCAATGATATTATAGAATCAAACCTCACTGCCATGACAACCTTTATTCTTTTAATGCTATGGCCAGCAGCCATATCACCCTGCAACTCACAACTGGAAACCCACTGAAGTTAAGCTGGCGTGAGCCTGGTTAGTACCTGGATGGGAGACCTCCTGGGAAAAACTAAGGTTGCTGCTGGAAGAGGTGTTAGTGGGGCCAGCAGGGGCCACTCGCCCTGTGGTCCAGTTGGGTCCTAATGCCCCAGTGCCAGGGACACTATACTGTAAACAGGCACCGTCTGTCGGCTGAGACGTAAAACTGAGGTCCTGACTCTCTGTGGTCATTAAAAATCCCAGGGTGTCTCTCGAAAATAGTAGGGGTGTTACCCCAGTGTCTGGGCCAAATTTCCCATTGGCTCAGACCAATCATGGCCTCCTAATAATCACCATCTATGAACTGGCTTCATTACTCTGCTCTCCTCCCCACTGATAGCTGATGTGTGGTGAGCGTTCTGGTGCACTATGGCTGCCGTTGCATCATCCAGGTGGGGCTGCACACTGGTGGGGGTGGAGGGGATCCCCATTAGCTGTAAAGCGCTTTGAGTGGAATGTCCAGAAAAGCACTATATAAGTGTAAGCAATTATTATTATTATTATTATTCTGAACTGTTTTGTTCAGAAGCATGGTCTCTTCTCACAGGCACCACTGGCAATGACATGAGCTACAGTGCTTAGCACAGCCAGTACACAGTATCGCCCCCCCCCCCGCCTCCCAGCACAGAAGGGTCCAGACCTGTACATCTTGAGCGTGACTGTTCCATAGACGATCGCAAAGCCCAGCAGTCGGACCCAGCGCATCAGGATACAGCGGAAAGTACTGGGCTTGAAATACAGGATAAACACCTGCAGATGAAGGCACAGAAGGAGGTGAGGTCATTGAGGTCGGTTCCAGAACCCAGCTGTTACATGCTTCAATCAGAACAGCCAAGCATGTATTCTTCCAAGATACAAAAAGCTTATTTCTGAAAACCAGGGATCTGAAACTCTAGATCTGCTACATTTTATAGGTCCAAGGGTAGTACTCTGGCACTTCTATTTCATGCCATGACACTGAATTAATCCTCACTTAATTAACCCTGGTGCTGAAGATAATATCTTGTTTATTGTAAAGCTGCTTAAAAACCTAGGAAAGAAGGTCTTTGTGACAAATTAATTAAATTGAATGGAATAATTAAATCAAGTAACTAAAGGCCCTAATTGCATAGGAGTTGTGACAGTGCACTGCTCACTGCTATGCTCAGAGGCAAGTCCAGTCTGCAAACGAATCACAGATGTTCCTGTTTTCATTATGTCATCTGCAGTGGAGAAAATGTAGTTTTGCAATGCATGAGGTTTAATCTCAGTTTAGCGGGCATTTCAGGATGTAGCCATCTTATTCTGACACACATCCCTAATAATAATAACAATAACAATTATAATAAAACAGGATTTCTGATCTCTCTTGTGAAGTCTTGAAGAGTCTCTGAATATCTGTTCTGCTATTTGAATGCTGAATATTTAGCCTCGCAGTGTGGTGTTTGGGGAGTAGGAGATGACTGTGCAGCTGCTCTGTGTGCTCTGGATTCTGCACTGTGTGAGAGAGCGTTTGTGCTTCTGTCTCAGGTGGCACAGCAAGAGCGACAGTGTGTCTCCTCTGTCTGTCTTGCTCCTCTGTTTGTGTTTCCAGGAGGGTGGCACCAAGAGGAAAATAGACGGGATCAAAGGGCTGAAAAAGAGGAAGCTGCTCTCCCTGGAGCTGCTCCTGCGGGGATCTGAGGAAATGTCACGTCTCTGTCTTTTTATCCAGGTGCCTCTGTGAGCCTGGGAGGAGCAGTGCAAAGGCCAGGTGGTCCAGTACAAAGAGAGGCTGTTGGCAGGCTAGCAGCAGGGAGCCCACTGGTCCAGCTGCAGCGCGGGCTCCTGCTTGGTGCAGACTCATCAGTTCTCTCTGACGTGATCGTTCTGTTTCGTTACCATTTCTTTGATTGTTCACTTAAGTGCTGCATGAGCCCAAATAACTACATGTTGGCGGGTGATATGAAACATCTTCCATTCTAGCTACCTATAGTTTATAGATGTTACACAGCAAATCTTTGTTTAAATTCAATAAACTCAGACTGTTTGGATTCTAGCTATTCATCTAAGTTGTTTTGTGCTTATTATTTAAATATTGTTTTCTGAAATCCAGTCACTTGATATTCTTTACTTCTCAATTGACTGCTAAGTTGTTCTCTGTCTTCTTCGTGCTGTGAGAACACGACTACCTGTTTGCTCAGTTTCTCTGTTGCTGTTTCTGAGCTTCTTCTTTTTGAAGAGCAGCAATGACTGTAGTGAGAACCAGTACTGGATCAGGTGTATTCGTGCTTTACTAGGTGGATTTTTCTCTCCTGGACTTGTGGAGAGGGATCCTGCACTCTGCCCAGAGTGGACACTCCTGGACACTCAGCCCAGAAGCCCTCTCTCTACAGCCCCTCAGGGCGTGTGACTTGCTCCCAACAGGAGCCCTCCAAGGGTGCTGCTGCTTTATTAGAGATGCTTAGTTCATCTCAGACACTGCCAGCCTTTTAATTCCTCTGTGCAGAGTGTGACACCAGGGGAAATCAAGAGAGAGAATCTGGCCCAGTGCTCTTGACTGTGGCTCCTGCTCGCTATCACAGAGCCCTGACAGCAGCTCCTGCCCACACAGCACCATCTCTTGCTGTCTGCTCATGTTCCAGATCTGCTCTCTCCTCTAGGCAACTTGGCAGCAGTGCAGAGCAGCAGAGGCCTGATAAGAGCTGCCCCAGAGGAGTGAGCCCAGACTCACGGGGAAGTAGAGGAGCAGTGAGCCAAACAGGATGGTCTCCAGCAGCAGCAGGCCTGAGGCACGAATCCTCTGTGGGTGGAAGGAGATAGAGACAGAGAGAGGAGAGCTGTTAGTCACAGTATGTGCAAGGCTCCCTCTTACCATCAGCCTCAGACGAGGCAGAACAGTGTTTAACAGCAGTACCGTATTTTAGTATGTCTGCTTTCATCCACCTCCTCTGCAGAGAAATTTCAGGTCTGATCTCACCTCTCTGCTGCCTCCCACTATGCAGGTAGTGCAGTGATGATCTTACTTACAGCACACAGCATCCGCAAGCATCCCACACAGCAGCTGGGCAATCCATAAAATGACTAAATAAACAATCAAACTATGCTACATATTTTCAGTCAGTTTTGTATTTTATAACACCATGTTGACGGCAGCCATATCACTCTGCAACTCACAACTGGCAACCCACTGAAGCTGGTCTGTACCTGGATGGGAGACCTCGTGGGAAACACTAAGGTTGCTGCTGGAAGAGGTGTTAGTGGGGCCAGCAGGGGGCGCTCACCCTGAGGTCCATGTGGGTCCTAATGCCCCAGTAAAGTGATGGGGACACTATACTGTAAACAGGTTCCGTCCTTCGGATGAGACATAAAACCAAGGTCCTAACTCTCTGTGGTCATTAAAAATCCCAGGGCATTTCTCAAAAAGAGTAACCCCGGCATCCTGGCCAAATTTCCTATTGTCCCTTACCAATCATGGCCTCCTAATAATCCCCATCTATGAACTGGCTTCATTACTCTGCTCTCCTCCCCACTGATAGCTGGTGTGTGGTGAGCGTTCTGGCGCACTATGGCTGCCGTCGCATCATCCAGGTGGGGCTGCACACTGGTGGTGGTGGAGGGGATCCCCATTACCTGTAAAGCGCTTTGAGTGGAGTGTCCAGAAAAGCGCTATATAAGTGTAAGCAATTATTATTATGATTATGAGAATAAAAGTACATGTAGCTGAGTTTTCAGAACTGAAGGGTCAACATCAAAATATTTGCTCTGTAACTGCTTGCATGTAGAATATTACATTTTTCCTTACACTGTCTATTTAAGTTATTAAGTAAAATAACTTTTTTAAATAACTTTTACTTAACACATAACATAATTTCTAATGCAGAAGAATCTCAGTATGTAAGTTAAAACATAAAAGCATCCAGATGAATTCGGGGTTCAGTCCAGCTCCTTCTGGAGGGAAGCCATCGTGTGTGTGCTGGGTACAATTCTCTACAAACCCTCAGCTTGTTCTGTTCTCAGACAGCTAGATCTCGGTTTTGGTTTTCAGACAATGTCATGTATCCTTCACAATGAGAGCTGGTCAGAATAACACTCATATTTCTGGCAAAAGACATACTGCACAATTTCCTGCACTTGTCATAGTCTGTCTGAATGAAAAGCCAGCCACGCCTTAAACACAGACCCGAAATGCCACTGGTGACTGCTGCTGCTGAGATCAGACCCCCCCCCTGTCCACTCTGTGCAGTGGGAGAATGGCTTTTGATGCAGAAGAGCGGGGATACAGGGATAAGTGGAGACAGGAGTAGGAATACTGGAATAAGTTGAGGCAGAGGAGCAGGGATACAAGGATAAGCGGAGACAGGAGCATGGATACAGGGATACAGGGATACAAGATGTTTACTTTGCTATGGCGGAACTCGTACGCCACCAGCATGCTGATGAAGATGAGGAGCATGAAGAAGGCCTGCACTGCCAGCACTGCGGCCCTCAGGAGCCAGTCCTCTTGCACACTGCAGGGGGAGCCGTCCTCACAGCGCAGGCAGCCTGGCCAGCAGGGCAGGCACACAGGCATCTGGGGGCGCCCGTCCGCAGACACGCGGCTGCTGTTGCCTGGCTCCTCGCCACCTGTCTCACACCCAGGGGCAAGACGGGCAGAAACAGAAAGAAACTTTAAGTGCTCTTCTCACACTATTTCACAAACATACAGAATCATTAAAGGCAGTAACGCTGCTGCAGGTTTGGTACAAATATTGATTCTCTTTGTTTTATACGATAATGCTATCAATGAAATATTGTCTCCTCTGTAACACTCTATCTTTTACCTTGAGTATATCTCACACATCCCACTCAACCTGCAGCTCTGTGGTCTGCGGCACCACTTGTCTGTGTTCCTGCGTACGGTCTGGACCGGAAAGGCCTGTTAGGGGTGCGGAGTCTTACGTGAGTCCTGTCCTGTGGAGCTGTAGTAGCCCTCTCTGCAGCGACACTGGTACTGCCCCAGACGGAACCCTTGTCCTGTCAGGGCCTGGCACTGTGGAGGAAGAGGAGACAGGCCTAAACCCAGCACTGTCTGATGTTCACGCTGTCCCATTCACAGGTAGCACAAATATCTTAAATTACTTTAGAATCAACTCCACACTGCTCCATATTAAAACTGAACAGCAGAGGCTCAATGTGTAAATCCATCCTAAAACCTAAATGGACATCTAATGCCCTGAAAAGAGCATTATGCCTTTCCCCAGGAAATCCACCATATAGATCAAGCAGTCAGGGTGGAGCTCTCACTGTTTAGAAACACTGCATTAAGAAGTGGTCAAAGACACACTTAGACTACATTTCTACTCTCTGGTTATCATTCAAAAATAACTATTTTCCCACATAGCTGTTAGGAATCTTGCATCGAGACTAATGTTTGTTTTATTTATCCACATGTTTCCTACCTTTATCTTTTCTCCTGCTATCTGCTTGTGAATGTTTGACCTTTCAGAACAGTGAGAAAAACCTGCCGCACTGAGAAGTACCTGTGCCAGCACCCAGCCTCACATCTGTCAGGCAGGGGCGGGCTGGCTGGCACACAGCTGCAGCAGCAGCACAGTTTTCTGGCAAACTATGTCACAACCACTGGATTATGAGCATAATCCCCCAGATTATCCCATCCACCACGTAACCTTTAAATAGTAAGCTGCTCTGGTGCGGGCAGGCCAACACTATAGATGTCTGAGTCTGTCAGGTGTCCCCTGAATCCTGGTATAGCTTCCCAAAGTGTTGTTCAAAGAGAATGGAAAATTATTGATTTATTGATAGTGTGAGCCAAGGTATTGCATCTGGGCATTGCTTTTCGGTGGGAGTAAAAGTCAGGGATTAAGAGAAGGGTTAAGGTACAGTCCAGGAGAGGGTGAGGTTGTTATAGTCAGGTTAAAGGGTTGGGTTTAGGGTAAAGGTTAGGATAACTAGTAGGTATCCCAAGGTGACGTGATCTTGGTGACATGATAAAAGAGACTTTGACAGAGGCAAGAATCGTATAGGTAAAATGTCAGTGTATAGTATTTGCAGGCCTCAGAAACAGCTATACAGCAGGGCTGTAGTGAAGGAAATGTTTTACAACCCCACTTCAAGCAGAAAAGACCTGACCTCCATGCTGGTGCGATTGCACTGGTGTGTGTTGGAAAACCAGTCCTCGCCCACTGCACACTGGTCCACATCGAAGCTCTGCAGATTGACATCCACACGGATCACACCCCTGGCATGGAAGACAGACTGGCATCAGTCAGGCCCTGCACAGCACTCTGCCCCCCTCCCCCTCAGTTCTCTAGACTTTGCACGTCCAGGTCAAATAGAAAAGAAAACACTAGGAACTACTACTGTGTTGCATTTGCTTTTAGATCATGTCAGACACTCTTAAACAGCTATACCACATTATTCTAAAGTGGTTTTTCTTCATTTGACATGTATTCTCTTGTAGGCAGACTATAGCAGATGCTTAAAATAAAAATATGGATATCCTTATATCTATGGTGTGATGGTCTGACTCCAATGGACACTGATATTGGAAAATAATGTCACCACAGGGTATCAGATACCATTTGATACCAGACACCAGAGAATACAGAAATCAGAGAATAACAACCCAAGAAAATATCTTCTCCAGACAATTCTGATCCCAGAGTAGATTTAACTTGAGAAACCCGATGCCAGAGAATACTAACCAAAGCATATTTACCAAAGCCTGTTAGAAGTGGTGTCGCAGAGGACTTTACAGAAAAAATAAGAATTTGTCTAATCTCATATAGCATCACACAGATAAATATAGCAGAGAGGAGAGTGAGTACAAAACACAACCATCTTTCACAGTTCCTAACCTCCCACAGCCCTGTACAACCAGAGATCATTGTTCGCCCATCTGAAGTAATCAATGAATAAATTGACTTGAGTCAGCAGGTCTCTTGATCTAAGGCAGCTTTTTATGTAAAGGAAGCTGTACGGCCTGGTACACTGTGGCTCTGCTGGTCCAGGGGCTCCAGAGGGATCCCAGAGTCTGTGCGCAGGGGGTCATGTAGACACACACACATGCGAGTCAGCAGCAAAGGAGCTCTTGGTTGTAATTAGCGCCTGTGTGGAAGAGGAAGTGTGAACAGGATTGGATGCCAACTGTACTTGTGCAAACAATGAGAATCAGTGTTAAACACAACAGCAGTGAGGAAAACTGGAGAGTCAAGATGTGTATGTGTTTCTAATGCCAGGTGACGCTTTCCAGTTTCACTCTTGAATAAAGGTGTTTCAAACAGATTGTTCCAGTAAAATGCTCAGAAGTGTAAAGGGGTATAAGAGAATTTGCTCTGAATAAATGAGACAATTTAATAATAATTCTACCACCTTTCACATTGGAGTTTGCGGAATCGACCAAAGGCTACTCCAAAGGCAGCACTTGCAAAAATACCTTTCCTCAGAATCTGAATTTCCAAAATGTTGGCCCAGTGTGGTGACTGTGGGTACTGGGGTTTCTGTACTGAAGGAGGCTCTTGACCGAGACATTCAATCAAGACTCTGGCTGATTGGTCATTACAGATCCCACAGCACATTTAGTATGTGCAGGGGGGTTATTTCCAGGGTCCTGGCTAAACTCCAGTCTGAGTCTCTCAGTCTGGCCTACCCCTAATTCAACCGATGAAGTAATTTCTCACTTCTTTCTCAGACTCAGGCTGCTGGTGCAGAATGGCCTCTGCATGTCGTTCAGATGAAACAGCACTTCACTGGAGGATAAGGAAGCTCCCTTCACATGTGTTAAGCACTTTGGGATCGCTAGGGATGAAACTACTTAAATGCCAGGAGTTGTTCATTTTAAGTGTTAAAGATAAGTACTTCACTCAGAAATGTGCAAAGATACCAACCCCAGCCATAATAAACTCTTACAAAATAAACAATACAAAATGTGGCAGACACAAACACTTCATCAGTTCATTTTTTGCTTTTTCTTGATGATTGTCACACAGAGATTATCTGTCTTATTCCTTCAGACAAGACTGCAAGATAATAAGATCTGACATTAGGACTCAGGATAATAAGTCTGAAATAGTTCACATCCTTGACGTCAGATTTTTTTTATATGAGATCCATTATACAACCAAGGCAGCAGGCAAGTCTCCTTCAGACTGTCTGGGTCTTCTCCTCCCTGTCTCTGCCTCCCAGACGTGCTGCACAAGACACTGTCAGCCATGCTGGCCTGCAAGCCCTGAGAAATCAATGGAGGAATAGGTGCTATTTCTGATGAAGTCATCCATCGTGTCCAGGTGCTATATTATATTCCCATGAGAAAGGAAATTAGAATGGGAAATTAATGGTTGTTGTTTAATTGAGATACACTAATGGTATTACTCTGGATTTTGTTCTCAAATGTACAATATCTGTCAATATCTGAGTCTTCACCCTTCTAATGTGTACTGTTGCAATTGTACACACTAATCTCTTGTAATACTAATCTAATCTTGCTGCTTAATGTAAGTTTATGCATACCGATTTTCTGTATTTTCACTGATACTTTCCCCTATGTAGTTTTATGTTCTTGTCTTCAACAATTGTGTTGTTATTTGTTGTGTCATTTGTCATGTGAGGAAACACGCAAGTAAGCATTTCATTGCACTCAGGTACATATAACCATAAACCCGAAACTTGAAAATGTCATGCATTTGCAGTTTTGATTTCAATGAGCAAATGCTGCAATATCAGAGGAGAAAGGTTGCTGTTCTTATCACATGCAGACTGACAGCACAAAACCACCTTCCAGCTGCACTAGGTCCCAAGATTCAGACTGCCTTTGATATCATTCTAAGATTCAATTCACAAACAGCTCTCTGATACCCTGAGCAGTGCAGTACCTACATGTGCTTGGTGAGCTGTGACTGAATCACCTTGCTGTAAGCCCAGGGGCTGTCATCAGCCACATAATGAACTGCAAAGGAATTAAAAACATGAGCTGTTAAACAAGTGCCCATTTCATAAAGTGTCCCACTTCAGAAAATATTTACAAAAGAAACAGTCACAACAGAGGAAGAGGACTCACTGCTGAATTTATCAAATTGGGCTTTAAGAAAAATCAAGCTGTAAAAACAGCAAACATAAAAGGCTGAGTCACACTTAGAGACCAGATTAAGTTACATGACTAACTGCGACACCATGAGTGCCAGGTAGGTACGCCAAGCTCTACTCATGCTCCCCTGATGGACAGGTAACAATCCATTGGAAACAAATATTCAGGGTCTGTAACCCAACACAACAGAGTGAACTACAGAACAGACAGAGAACAGCTAACACAGCAATGGAGAACTATTGTGGATTTACAATAATTGGTAACAGACAATAAAAATAATGATGTATATGCATATGCAAAGAATAATGTTCTTTTCTTCAGTATCAAGAGCTCTGACATGATGGCTAACAATGCAGAAACTGGACATCAGTGAAATGGAACAGGTGAGTAGGTGTAAGTGTGAAAATGTAAAAGATTTACAGGAGCTCATTCATTAAACACAAACAACATACCCTTTGTTGAGCTACAAAATGTCAGATATACCCTGGGATTACAGGGTAAAGTCATTTGCATACCTTGAGTCCATACTGTAGAGCTGTGATATTTCACTTCCAAGAGCAAGGCTGGAACTGTTCAGCATTTTCTATGACACTGAGTAAAGTACTCTGAACAGCCAAGAGCAGGCAGCTCCAGAGTGTGCTGCCCATTGCTAGCATTGCTTACATGATTTTCCATGTTCATTTTCAAAGAGTTTACAATTTTTCTCTTGTGAAATGAAGGAGTAGTCTTAAAATCTCTACTTTATGCTGTTCAGAACAATACTGTTCAACACAATGATGTTCAGCATCCTAAAATGCATTAAAACAGAAAACCTATATCGATTAAAAATCTTTTAGCGTAAGTTCTGAATGAAGGTATCCTCACCCTCTATGACAGACAGAATCAAGACATTCAACAACTCATTTAATTTAAAATCTCTGCAGATTTTTTATTTTTATTTTGCAATTAGAGAACAATGAGTGGGAAGTGTGTGTGCGTTACGCATGCGTGTGAACTGAGTGTATGTTTGGTGTATGTTTGTGTGTTTGGCGTTTGTGTAATATGCACTGTGTGGTTGTGTGTGTATGACGCGTGTGGTACATGCTTATGAAGAGCATGTATGTGTGTTGTATGTGTGAGGGGTATGTGATGTGCATAGTGTATGGTGAGTGCATTTGTGGTACGTGTGTGTTTCATACATATGTGGTGTTCTTGTGTGTAGTGTGTGTGGTGCACAGAAGCAGTCTGCATGGTGCATGTACAGGGGTATGTGGTGTGTGTAGTGAGCTGTGCATTTGTGTGGTGTGTTTGTGGAAGACTTGAGAAATAAGAGCAACGTAGAGCTCGTCCACACCCTGCTGTGTTTTACATGGAGGCTTTATGGGAAGCATATTTTCTCCTGCGTGTACCTTACAGTGTGTTAGTATTACACACACACACAAGCTCCACCACCATTAGCGACTTTGTCTGAGGACATTTTTAAAAAGCTGTTTGTCTTTTTGCTACAGATATTGTCTAATTCTGTTTCACTATAAATACTGAGCAAAGATTTGCCAGTCCAGATATCAAGGAACCATTTGAGCAGAAAAAACAGGTCATAGTAGGAAGCTGAAATAGCTAACCAAGGGTAGCCAGAGAAAAACCACAGAGAGAACAGACAGTAGAACCAGAAGAAGACCTTGCAGTGTTTCTGCTAATCTTTCCCAAGCCTGCGATGTGTGTGACTGGTTTAGTTTTATATTCTGGATGGAAAGCAGCTGTGGGAGAGGAAGCAACATGTGGTCTTTCCAATCCATCCCAGTGCAGCTCCTGCGCTATTTAACAAACTTGTGACAGTTACAGAGTGAAGCAGCTGCTCTGCTGCAGGAGTCAGGGGTTGTGGCCCCAGAGGAGAGAGCTGGGAGGGAGATGGAGGGATGCAGGAGGAGGCTAGGCTGTGAGAAGAGTCACTCACCTGAACTCGGGGCTCAGGTCAGGCTTCAGGCCGTAGAAGGAGGTTGACAGAGAGAGCATCCAGCCAGGAACAAACTTGCCTGCCTGGCACTCCAGGAAGGGGGCTTCTGCCCAGTGCACGTGGCGATGGTCCATGATGTAGCTGTCCCCCCGGTTCCACTTGGGTGTGTCCAGAGTGTGCAGGTCATTGCGGAGGATGCGCTTGTGCAGGAAGCTGGCAGGTGGAGGGCCCTCAGCAAACTTGAGCGCAGTGAACCAGTCCGAGCCATTGGCAAGGGTGTGCAGCTGCTCCCAGGCAGAGGACAGGTCCTGCAGGAGAATGTCCCCAGGGCCTGGCTCGCGAGTGGCTTGGAGGACCAGCTGGGGCCGTGATGAGGTGGGCTGAGCATCGAAAGTCAGCACAGCACGGTAGATCCTGGGGTCACCCTCCAGGAGGCTGCGCACCAGCGCGTGGTACCATTCGATGTCCTCGCGCACGCTGGACTCGCGGATGTCATTGGCCTGGAAGATCATGTTGAGGAAGTTTGCAGCATGGGTGAGGGTGTCCAGAGCACTGTGCAGGAAAGGCTGCAGACTGGCACTGGGGGAGCCCCTCAACCCCTGAAGGCGGTGTCGCTGGGTGCAGTTGGCCAAGGCCAGCCGGCTGGAGTCTCCGCTGTACAGGAAGGTCTCTGCTGCTTCCCAGCTGTCTGTGTCCCACCTCTCTGACTCTCTGGAGTGGGTGGGAACTGTGACCCCAGAAGATACTGTGGGGGTGCTGGCCAGGATGCTCCTGGCAGTGGGCTCTTCTGTCACTGACCAGGTCACACCTGGGAGTCCAGTGGTCTTTGAAGTTCCTTCCAGATCCCCATTCCCAGATTGGCTGGTAGATTCTGCCCTCTGGTACATAGAAGTGCTGAATCCAGAGCCCAGTGGCACCTGAGTCAACAGAAGCAGCTGCAGTAGAAACATCTCCATCATTCCCAGGAGCATCTGGTCCCTCTGACTCCTCACGAGCCCCACCTCCAGCAAAGCTTTCTATTTTTGTTTTATTTATTTGTCCTCCCCTTCAGCCTAAAAGCCACCACATATCTTGCAGGCTGGAGTCTGTGAGCAGGTCCAGGGGGCTTGGGGATGCTGGCTGTAGTCCTGTACCCCCGTGCATGATGCTCCAACTCTTCTTGTAAATCCTTCTTAGTACAGAAATCCTTTTTTCTTTATGAAAAAAGTATTTTTTTATCCTGGATATTTTTTTTAAAGACAGGATCAGCGAGTAGCAGCAGTTATGTTTTAGTGTAGCTTCACGCTGGTGTCTGTTCAGCCTCCCACAGCATCCATGACTTCCACTGAGCAGCTAGAGATCCACAGCGCTGGAAGCCTGGTGCTCCGAACAGTAATAATTACTGTAGTAATATGATAATTACAGTGGCTCTGACAAAATGTCAGCAATTACGGAGGAGAAAGACAGATCAGCACTTGTGAGATCGTGCAAGACAAGCACTGCGCTCTCTCCATTACCATCACACACTCTGCTTAGCTGCAGAGCATCTCTACGCCTTTCTGTGTCTCCCCCTCCCTCTCCCCCTCGCTCTCCCCTCTCCCTCTCGCTCTCTTTCTTTCTCTGCTGTTTTTCCTCTTTGCTTGGTGGCAGACGTCACATCGGCAGTACATGGTTAAGAGGCAGGCGGGCCTGGTGGCGTGTGTGTCCGGTAGTGTGGGGGAGAGGGGTGGGATGGGGGGGAGGTCATCAGGAGAGAGATGAGAGTGTAGGAGGATGAGCCAGTGAGATGAAGGTTAATCTCCTGTCTCCACCCAAGTATTAATTCCCGGAGCCGTTAAATGTCTGTCTATGCAACAAAAATGAATAATGTCAGACCTGTTAATGTGCAATTGTGTCACGTGACAGTGTATACTATTTTATAAAATATACACATGATAGATTTTGCATTGTGAGAAGATTGCTTCAAAGTAAAGATGGTAATTGTTATTGGTTATTGATAATTGTGGATGCCCATTTTAAGAACAAAAGAGCTTTTATAACATAGAGAGATGAGCAGTGAGCTAAAAAAAACAGAAAAGATACAGACACCCAGTAGTTTGTACTTATGCACAGCTATCCCCAGCGATGCTCCCAGGCTGTGTGATTGAGAAGAAGGTAGTGCTAACCACTGCCAGTGATGCAGACAAATCCTGGATGTAGCTCCATGGCAACAGGAGCCAGAGAATTCTGTTCCATCCCTCTGTGCCCCACCCCCAGTCAGCAGGACTCCATCAGGACTGCAGAGCATCACTGAGGATGGGGGCGGGTTAATGCATGAAGACACTCGCGCGGAGAATGTGCCGGGTGGCAGGTCCAGCCCATTTGTAGAGGACAGAGGTGAGGAGTGTGTGGGCTTCAAGTGAAAGCAGACAGGTGTGTGTGTTCGAAACAAAAACAGGCAGATTTTATATTTCCTTGTATATGAGTGCTGCTTATGCATGTCAGAATGAATTTTCTGTGAGAGTCACCGCATGTCTATGTGTGAGTATCTATAACAGAGCAGCTCCTCTTTCTGGGTCTCTGGACAGAGCGTCAAGGTGCTCTTTTCTCAAGGCAGAGTCAGGAGGAGAATCACCCAGCATCTCCAGTATCTCCAGCCTTCAAGGCTCCAGGACAGCAGTGGCCGCACAGCAAAATACTCAAACCAGCTTCAGGATCGCTGGGAATATTGCAGCTATAACAGAGTGAAATAAGGAGCTGTAGCACAGTAGCTGAAATAAGACTGGAGGGCATAATCTAGATTGCATACATATTGTCCCTACCTGTATTGTCATTAATGAATATTTTACCCAAAAATGGATTGGCTTCTGGAGCTAGGCAGAGTCATGTGCTCCCACTCCTGCCTGTTCCCAAGTGCTTCATACATCCGGGACAGGCTAACCTGACCCTCACCTTGGTGAGGTAAATATCACTTAGAGGTATATATCCTCACTAGCACTATACACGTATGTCCAGGCTGTGTTTACCACACAGCACTAGCATGTCTTTGTGCATCTAAAGCTATGGAACATGAATCACATGAGCTATGGACTCTCAGTTTGAACGTCTTTGTCTGCAGTGACCCCCTCTGGAAAGAATGGGAAAGTGCAGCAGTAATAATTTCTGTTCTGTTTCTGCACAGATCACATAATTAATTGCTTACACTTACAGTGCCTTGCGAAAGTATTCGGCCCCCTTGAACTTTTCAACCTTTTGACACATTTCAGGCTTCAAACATAAAGATATAATTTTTTTTATTTTATGTGAAGAATCACCAACAAGTGGGACACAATTGTGAAGTGGAACGAAATCTATTGGATTTTTGAAACTTTTTTAACTAATAAAAAAAT